TAATTGTTTCTCCCCTCTTCGAAATCTTTTCTCTTCTTCCATTCTTCCATTGCTATATTTTAGAACACTCAGGTCTGCGTGTTTGTCTGCATTACTTTACGACCCATCTTCACGAATAAATACCCGTCATGTCTAACGATCAATCCCTCCTCGAGCGCATCGAGATGCCCAGCATCCCTGAGGCTGCTATGAAGAAGATTGCTGTTTTGGAGGAGCAGTTCTCTCGTGCTGAGGTTGAACAGTGTATGTGATGATTTCCTAGTTCACTTTCTCTTTTGTTATGGTGGACAAGAAAAAAGAAAAGAAAAACAGCTTTGCATAGTCTACTTCTACCATTGGAGCAAGACCATCAATTGAGAACTGTAGTTATTGATGAACCAATCGCTAACATAAACAATCTATAGTGCGCCACTCTGTCAAGCTCATGGCCCCCCTGATCCAGAAGCGCAGCGAGATCATCAACATCCCCGAAGTGCAGGCTGAGTTCTGGATGCGCGTCTTCGCCAGTGCTCCCCAAGAAATCGATGAGTATATTATGTCTCGCGACGCCCAGGTTCTCGGCGAGAGCCTTAAGAACATGACCGTTGAGCGATTCGAGCTTGACGCCCAAGGCAACGGCGAGCCCCGCAGCTTGCGCTTCATTTTCGAGTTCAAGACCGGCGATGAGAACCCATTCTTCACCAACGATAAGCTCGTCAAGGATTTCTACTGGCGCCAGGAGGTGTCCAAGAACGCCGCTGGCAGGTCCCGCACCTGGGAGGGTCTTGTTTCCGAGCCCGTCCGCATCAACTGGAAGAAGGATATGGATTTGACCAAGGGCATGCTCGATGCTGCCTGCGACCTCGCTGAGGCCGAGAAAAAGAAGGGCGGTGACCGCAAGAAGTTGCCCGAATTCGCTGCCCTTGTTAAGAAGGTCGAGGAGGCCGAGGCTGAGGCTGCCAACGCCGATGACGAGGATGACGAGGACCCCAGCCCTGTTGGCATGAGCTTCTTCGGATTCTTCGGATACCGTGGCCGTGATGTCTCTGCTGCTCAGTCCAAGGAGGCTGCTAAGGAGATTGAGGCTCGCTGGGCCAAGATCCAGAAGGGCGAGGATATCGATGAGGCTGGTGACTCTGATGATGAGGATGATGAGGAGGATGACCCTGCGGGTCTTGAGGAAATCGATATTTTCCCCGATGGAGATGACCTTGCTGTTGCCATTGCCGAGGACCTCTGGCCCGATGCTCTGAGCTACTACGGTATGTAGATCCCAGACAGCGAGTGAGATGTTCACCCCACCACTAACTTTGACTGCAGTTCAATCCTTCCAGATGGGCGAAGAGCTCGAAGATATGGACCTCGACATGGAGGAAATGGATGACTCCGATGAAGATAGTGAGTCACGCCCGCGCAAGAAGGCTCGCAACTAAACGCCATGACCCCCCTTTTTGATGTTTTTTTTTGCTTTTTCCTAACCATTTGGTTTATGTATTATCACAGTGCAATGAGGAGGATTAATAATAAGACGAGGACGAAGATGAGTGCCGCGATACAAAATGAGGACCATGTATCTAGACGGAAAAGTTAGCTTGAACTTGAGATTCCCATACCATACCAAATCATCCCAGTAGAGATCCATAGACGAAACAGAGTAAACAGGGCCCAAGAAAAAAGGAGACAGTAACTTACCCTCATTCTTGCGCACGATATGTTTGATACGCGACATGCCATTCGCCAACTTCCCCCCAACCCGGTCCGCCAGCGTATCAACTTCATCAATCATGACAGCCTGGTCCTCCAACTCACGACCCATATCATCAGCCTGCTGGCGCAGATTACCAACAGTTCGAAAAACACCATCAAGCTGTTCATCCTGCTCATGCATAAGCTCCGACTGACGCTGCTGCTCCATAGAAGCATAATAATCGTCCCCGCCGCGACCGCGCTCCTCCTCTTCAAGCGCGGCATCGAACTCCGTAGGATTTGGCAGCGCGTCAACGGCAGAATTGGAAACAGTCTGCTGCAGCTCCTTGTGCATCTTCTCTACCTCGTCACCGACATCGTCAACGAGTTTGCGCCGCCGCTGCACCTCCTCTAGTTCTAATCCATAGCGGTAGGGGTCTTGTTCGATTGCGCGGACGCTTTCGACGAGGTCGTTGAGGTCGGCTGTGAGCTCTGTTAAGGTGCTTTCGAGCTCGGAGCGCGATTGCGTGAGTTCTGGGTTGGATGGGCTTTTGGCTAGCGACCGGATGCGGAGGTATGAGGAGAAGAGTGGTCGGCTGGTTTGTAGGGTTGAGACGACGTCGCTGGGGGGTTTGGTAGTTAGTTGGGGAGTTGCGATTGTGTTGGTGTAGTGCTTACGCTTGGACTTGTAGGAAGGGGTCTGCGTGCTCCATGGCTGTGTTATTGGGTATTGGATATGTGTTGTTGATAGTTCTCGGCCTCGGGTTGGTCCACGGGTGAGCATGGAGTGGAGGCGGGTTGTTGCTGACTGTTTTCTACGGTGGGGGTTTGGGACAATTGTGTAGTTTTGGCCTGGAAAGACGGTTCTGCCTTAAATTCACTTAACCTTCACATGACGACATAGCATTTTGATGGAGACAATGGCAGTGTCGTTATCTCTATTTTTGAGGATAAAATTTACTCCCTATCTGATCTTATTCATGTCTTTGATGAATTGTGATGTGTTTCCCTTTGGAATGCCAAAGAGCTATATGAAGCAGAGGAACTCGATGACTTGCCTATATCACGCCTCGTCGTAAACTTCTCGCAAGGCACAAGGGGTCAAGTACTCCCGAATTGTTTTTATAGTACGCCTCTTAGCCTCCTTTGTCCCGGGGTAGTTGCATAGCCCCAAGATCCTCATTCAACGGGATAGCAAAATAGTGCAATGCATTCTTTCCGTTCACATTCAGGACGCCTGCATTAACAAGTACACGAAGAGCACTCTGATGTGCCCCCTGTTCTATGGGAGCCGGCGGATCCGGCCAATTTATCTGTCGTCTTGGGTTTGGCTTAGCAACCGCGCTTCATGCTTATAATTGTAATTTCATTAATCACACCAATAATTTTCACTTGCTCTTGATAGGTACATAGATCCAAACACCTGCCCGGGTCCGGCACATAATCTTTGGGATCGCTTTGGCGTTTGCCGAACTTGGAATGTTGCTGCAAAAGGCAATAACTATTCGACCAACGCAAAAGCTCGGCACCCAAGACCCAAAATAACTTGCGTTGTGCGCAAGAGCTTATAACAAAAAGCCCAGTCGCTGAAGCCAGTCATAAAATGGAGAGGAACTCAGGCACCGGAACCAAGTCTTGAAGAAGACGAGGAAGAAGTTTGCTGATCGGCATCTCTCATTTGCTGCCTAAATTGTTGAGTCCGCTGATTTCCACCCCATACTGAGGCTCTGGGTATTGGAACCCGCAGCGCTCTCATCATGGGGCTTGGGCCATTGGAGACGGCAGCCCATATTTGTGACCTGCTCCATCACATAGCCCAGCATTCGGTTTGCCATTGGGTGTATGTTTGCATTTGAATCCCAGACAAGTCGCTATTTCCAGCTATAGAAACCAGAGAAGGGGGGTCTGGAGAGAGATAGCGGGCCTTGCGCGCCTGAATCGGTCTGAAGAGGCACTGGTGGGTGATGGAACAGGTAGTGGTGAAGACACTGACCAAGCCACATGCGAGGGACAGAAGGCACTAGGCTGTCTTGTCTGAGACCAGCAGAAAGCCTAGCTTTTTTGTCGATCCGAAGTATTCCCGGGAGAAAAAAATGAACTTCCCGTCGATAGGACTCAAGATCGACCAGAGCCACCCATATATCGACATTTTCCTCTGCTGGCCTAGGATCAAAACCCATACTCCTGAGGACCGATACCCATCGTATTGTATTCTGCGCTTTCCAAATGCCCTTTGCCATCGTTGTATGCTTGTGGCCCAGCCCCACCACTCGCCAAATACCTTTGGCTTCCTTTGCGTTACGTTTCTGTTTCATTCCCATCTCGAGTGGCATGACTTTTGTTCCACCCCTGTTGGATTTCACTCGCTCTTCGAATGATATGGGAAAACTTTCAGTGACTGCCGCACTGGTATTTGCCTCCACGGAATTCCCCTACGGTTCTGAAGTTTGCCGCCGTTGGGGAGGCATCCATGATGGCTGAAATCGGTCATCCAATTGACTGGTCGAAAACTATCAAGCACAATCCGGATTTGGTTCGCAAGAACTGCTATTTCCCGGTGTGCGAGGACGAAGGACCAGATCTAATTCCATAAGTTATTTCTCGGTCAGGCTCGCACATTGGTATAAGGCAAACATACTTTTGATTTGGCTGCGAAGAACCTTATTGGTAGCGGCTGTTTTGAGCCGGAATTGGTCAATAACCCTCTTCTAGTGAACGCCAATTTGCTGTGAGAGGAAGCAACTGTTAGTGACTCATCTTGATGCAAACTTGGAAGCTCAAAAAGCTTGCAGTCACTTACTTGTTTTGACATGGTTTCCACAACTTCTAGGCATGATGGCCAGAGAAACCACACATCCACAAATCTGTGGTGAGTTGGCTTGACCGAACAACTATAAGTCGCGTCCGGCCTTATAAGCTTCAGGGAGTACACAAGGTACCAATATGACCCCTAGCTTGGTGTCTTCAGACACTTTACTGCAACGCGTTGTGATGAAAAGAGTTGAGAGAAGTTCAGTTTCAGCAAGCAATGTGGGACATGAATTTATGTGGGACATGAATTTAAGCGAAATCCATATAGCGTAGGAGCGATGGACTATAGAAGAAGGTACGATAGTCCATATCTTCTAAGGCTATTGCCTACATACATAATGTATGTACATATGTATACTATGCATGTACTCTATAGGTTTGTTTGTCTTACGATGGATCGTTACTGCCTTGAATGTGCAATCCTGGAGTGAAAACACACTTTGGGTATTTCTGGGAAAACATCCTATCTACCAACTATATAACGCTAAAGCAGCCCCAACAGCCATTTCATAACATGAGGGATGTTAAGACAAAAGGGGTGTTTCTTCAGAGTATTTCTGTGGTACCACGGGAATGGAAATGAATGAATCGTAGTGGCCACCAACATGTACAGTGTTCGTTGCACCGTCATGAAACTCCTTTCCCCACGATCGGAGCTTCCGCGGTTCGTATCCTGGGACGTCTGGCTGCTCTTCGGAAGGAGTGATGTCTAGCCTGAGCTTCCACCCACGACGAATGAGAGCCGTAGCAGGGCAAATCTCCACACTGAGCTCAACAGCCTCACCTGGGACCAAAGGCGCATAATCAGCCTCTTTATGGGTGTGCCAGGGCCGCCAGGGAAGGGATTTTTCGATATCCATTTTTCGATGACTTGCCCTTAAGAACCCATTGGCAAGAGGTTGGGCCCGTGGGTCAACGCAAAACCTCACGATATTTCCCGATTCATCCATGGCCCACAAAAGAATAACCACGTCGGCATCATGTGAGGTTGATGATACATTCAGGGTAACCGAAAAGTGGCCAGCAAGCTCTATATCCTCTTTAAACGCGTCCGAGACAAAACTGACGCCTGCCGGACCCTCCTTGGGCTCCGTTTCTGCGGAATACGAGAATTCTTTTCCTGCGCCTGACGTTTTGAAATTTTGGAGACTCCCATCGGCCGCAAGGTGAAATTTAACATATTTAGTTCCAGGAACGGGCCAGTCTTCCTCCGTTCGCCAGTACCAGCGGCCCTCGCCGGTGCGCATCTGCATTCCGACCCGTTCCAAACTTTGATGTTCGATATTTTTCAAATGGCGATCAGCAAAGAGAAGAAGCTTGTCAAACACCTGAGTGTTGGGCCAGCCATAGTAGTTCCCGTCCACAACTTGGAGATATGTATCCTTGCACGATATGCATCTGAACGCCTCATAGCTTCCACGGGTATGTACAAGAGCAACTTGGGAAGCAGCTAGAAAGACAGGAATTGTGATACTTCTTGGATCACGCGCCGTTGACTGTTCATCCCAGTATGAATCGTAAAACGGGTGAGACTCGTATTTTTCAATCAGATTTCCGGTGTCTTTCCATCGTGGAGATGCAGCTCGAACCCCGCCGAACCATTGGGAAAGATAGTTGAGTACTGGGATACCGCCAATATATGACACTTCCCGATAGTTGTCTATATCAGCTGTTGCGTGAACAGACATTAGCAGGTAAGAGAAAAAACCACGGGAAACATAGATGAGCACTTACTTGCGTACGGAATGAATGCCTTGAGACCCCGAGGCTGTTGTTTGACCACTTCCCATTGACAGTTTGCACCGTAAGAGTTTCCCGCTAAGGCAACATTCCCCGTCGACCATGGCTGTTCTGCAGCCCATTCAACAGCGTCAAAAAGATCGTTTGATTCCTGGTGTAGTATTCCTCTCGTTCCAGGGGTCTGGGATATACCCCGAGGATCAATCTTGACCATGGCGTATCCATTAGGAACCCAACGAAACGTATTGAATGTGCCAATAGTCTCGTATCGTCGTTGCTGTGCCCACTTTCCAAACCAGGGGCCGGTATTGGGAACATTCAGTGGAACATGTGCCGGGGTTGTGTGCCAAAGATCCTCCGACCTCTCGAATGCCGCAACATCGTCAGGGTCGTCGGTATTTGGACCAGAGTATACTATTCTCTTGCCATATATTGTGCTGCTGACTAGTACTGGAAACCTTCCAACTTCGTCTCCCAGGGGCAAGTATACATCTCCAAGGACAAAACTTCCGTCTCGGACGGGAATTCGAAGGTCGCGAAGGACCTTGAAACCACTCTTGGCCCGTCGCAGGTGGTTGCGGACATGTGGAATTGATTTTGGAGCGATCTTCAGAGCGTCCCCAACCTGTGACAGGACTATATCCAGCGCTGAAGTGTTATGGTCATCCAAATTCATGGAGGATGCGTACTTGGATACGATCCTTTCGACCTAGAAGCAATTTATGAGGTGGCGCATCATCTGCGAAGAAGGACGCACACTCACCTGATCATCTATCACAATAGGCTTTTCAAACCCTTGGCCATTAGTGAGACTGAAAAGTAGTCTCGCTCGGTTGAGTAAGCTCGGGTCATCGATAGAAGCATCGGAACTAACAAGATCAAGAACGGTGATCATGCGTTTGCCTCTTGTCGTTCCGAGCAGCACATTTCCTATTTTAAAGGATACATCATCACCCTCGTAATACTGAAAATCGCCGCGAGCATTGGTGACGCCTTCAAATGACCCACTGCGATACGCTAGCCCTTGTACATCAATGAATCTGCCCAGCACTGGCGAAGCCATGATATGTTAGAATTATTTATGGAAGATATGTCCGTTATGATTGTGGCGATGAGTTTGGGATCTGTTCATGCTTTTAATGACTGTGGCAGAGTGATCTTTTGAATTGGCGCATGTGTAAGTTGGAGAAATACACCTTTTGCCGTCGGCTACATCGGGTCTCGGTCCATTCTGGCTACATGGCGCCCCGCCACACCGATTTAGCGCCCTGCTCTCCCTATCATGATTTGGGAGGGTAAGCGAATAGCTCATTTAGTGTTTACTCACTACTGCCTTGTTCTTCGGATATCTAGGTCCTTAGCTCGGCTAATCTCGTTTAGCCTAAAGATATGAGAATTTTCTGACTCTAGAGGAATATTCTCTGCCCACCAAAACATGTAGCCAATCGTTCGTAATCAAGCCAAGTTCCTTGAATCAACAGTCGCTTCGAAAAGAATCAAAATTGCTATGGGCCTTGGGGATTTCCTTGACTCAGGTAAAATAGGCCACTATATTCAGGCTCCAGCCTCTTATTCTAGAATCGATATATACATAACTAGGGTATTAGATATGTTAGCCTTTGCCAACTGAGAACTATGTATAACGACTTGAATATGAACATCAATATTCAGTTGGTCGGCTTTCAAGACCTAATTTTATGAAAATGGACTTGTTAGGGCCCACTCTAAAATGAGAGCTTAGGTAGACTGCGCCACCTCCCAGACTCTCCCCGCGGGGTAGTTAGCGCGGTCATACCCCGCCTAAACCATCCCCAGAAAACATGGTATATAAGATCTACTACTACTGGGTGTTCGGACCATTCTGCTTTGATCCTGTTTTGTTCTCAGTTAAACAGAAACAGCAATTTGGAGTATCTAAATATCAATAGCCTTAGGGAGGAATTTGTTATCCTTTAGCCTACCCCAAAACTATACCTTCTGACCTACGGTAATAGAACATCCGAAGCCCGGAGTCTACATTTGTGGGGTATATATCCTGCACTCAATCTTCCCCAGTAAAATGGTTTTGGCTTTCATTATTCCCTGTTAATCCAACACCTTTGTTATTTCAAGAAACTCAAACCGCGTAACGTAATGCCGGTCACAAACTTTTCCCTGGAAGATCCGTTTGAATACCTGGCGGGATTCAACGCTTGGCATCAGTGAGGTTCCCTTGCAATCTAGAACCACGAGGTATTGACTAACATGCTTGCAGGACTGAAACAGCACCTGGAATTATACCCCAAGGAACAACCTTCCTCCAAAAGGGAAAGTATGGAGTATACCCGGAGCGTGTCTCCGGGACCTCTTTCACTGTGCCTCGCAAAGACAGTAAACAGACCTTTCTCTACCGTCTGCTGCCTTCCACCTGCCATGATGAGTTCATAGAGGCCATTGACCACCCATTTAATGCGTCATTCGCTCATGAGGCTCTGAACTTTAAGCCCAATCAATCAATGTGGGCGCCAATCCAGATCACCGAGGAAGATGACTTTGTCACTGGGCTACGCTTAATTGGCGGTGCAGGCGAGCCTACGATGAAAAAGGGGGTTGCGTATTATGCGTACACTGCGGGCAAGTCTATGCCCAAGAACCAGGCATTTGATAGCGCCGACGGAGATATGTGCATCGGTGAGTGTTAATCAGTACTTGATGTGTTCGGCAATTTCTCCAGTTTGGCTTCTAAACGATTTCTAGTGCCGCAAAAGGGGACACTCGATATTCGGACGGAAATGGGAAACCTCCGGGTCCGACCGTACGAGATTTGCGTCGTGCCTCGTGGAATTCGCTTTCATGTCTCTTTACCTGATGGTCCCGCCAGGGGCTTTATCTTAGAGACGTTCGCGGGCCACTTTGAGCTACCAGAACTTGGTCCTATCGGATCCTATGGCCTGGCGAATGTCCGCGACTTCGAAGTGCCAAAAGCGAGCTTCGTTGATACCGACGAGGACACCGAACTCCTCAGCAAATTTGCAGGTACTCTCCACCGAGCTACTTACAGAGGGGGTATCTTTAATGTTGCCGGGTGGCATGGAACTTATTACCCTTTCAAATACGATCTTGGTAAGCGCCTAGTTTGGATGTAATAGATGTAACCATGCTGATAACTCACCAGGGAAATTCAACGCCATGGGTTCCATTTCTTATGATCATCCGGTATGTAATTTGGACCTTCAAAAGTCAGAAGACGATACGCTAATCACCCCACAAGGATCCCTCTATTGCTACCGTTCTCACATGCGCATCAGAGGTTCCAGGACAAGCCGTGGCAGACATAGTTGTCTTTGGGCCCAGGTGGGTAGTCTTCGAAAATAGCTTCAGACCTCCACGCTACCACCGCAACACGATGTCGGAGTTTATCTTCCTTGTCAAGGGAAGTTTCGGACCTGAGCCCATGCCTGCGCACCTGGAAGGCATGTTTGGTCTTTCAAACACCATGAGTGCCCATGGCCCCAGCGCTGCCACGTATGACCATGCAACCTCGGAAGAACTAGTGCCGCAAAGGATTGATGAGAAGAATATGGGATTGATGTTTGAGAGTTGGTAAGTAATATTGAGGCCCGGTGGCTATTGTACCTGGATAAAGACTAATCAATACGTGAACACAGTTACCAAATTGGTACCACCAAGTGGGTCGATACGGTGCCTACTAAGATGGCTGCTTCTCCTGCCGGCACAGCCAATCTCCAAAAGGTTCATATCCCTGAGTGAGATTCGGGTTTCCCTTTCAGTTTCTTCTTCTCTTGAAGCCGCCATAAATCGCCCTAGTGCAAGCTTAGAGCGGATTGAAAGTGGAAGATAATGTTAGTATTGCAGGGCAGAAATGATACAATGTACATACTAGTACTTTCACAATTTGACTATCAACTGGAGTATTTGTTTTCAGAACGGACAAGATAAAAAGCCCTATTATGGAGGATAGCCTGGCAAGATGAGAATCCATGGTTACATATGTTATGATGATTGATGTGGAGATTGGAAGATAGATCTATGGGAACATTGTAAAATTGGAACTATATTGAAGATGGCTGAGATGTTCTGATACGCTCTGAATGGAAGTATACCTATTTTATACTCTTATACGGCGATTATTACGTACTATACAAAATACTGTGGGCCTTTGTTGTAGTGCAATACTTGAGTGTACACGATAATATTTGCGAGAGTCCTTAGCGGCATAATGCTAATTTTCCAACAATGCAGCCGGATTAACCAACAACCATTTCCAATATATCGAGAACTTGATCCTTTTTTGTGATAGGGAACGGGTTTGTTGTGATCCATGGATCGTGGAGACTGTTTTCAGCCAGGAGGTCAAGTTTATCTCGGCCCACACCCACTTCTGCCAGCGTCCGAGGCATCCCCAGCTGTCTGATCACAACATCAAGTATATCACTCAGTTCCAAATTTTCTCGCTGCAGCCCTTTCATTCCAATCAGCTCCTGCACAACACTTAAACCCATGAGCTTCTCGGCGACCGCCTGTTGCTTTTCATGATTGACCCTCTTGATTGCATTGAACTTGCAAACAGCGGGCAATAAGATGCAGCTTGTCTCACCATGACCAATGCTAAGTGGGCCCAATTGATGGCCGATAGCGTGGCTGGCTCCCATTGGCACACCGCTAGTACTAGCCTGCATAGCGTCCACGACACCAAGTTGACACCGATGGTATGCATGCAGGTCTGCTGATCCGGCCTTGCACACGAGTAGTCCTTCGATCAGATTGCACAAGCCGCGTTCAGCGAATTTGTCAACCTCGTCTTTGCTCTCGAGCGAACAGAGAGCTTCGACGCAATGATCAATCGAGCGAACTCCAGAGCTCAACCAGACATGTTGCGGAGTAGTCTGGCAAAGTTCGGGGTCTTGAATAACAAGATCTGGAGTGACACCAGGTTCGAAGATGCGCTTGGCTCGCGACAAGTCATCAGTTGCCCCAGCGATAGATGAATATTCACCACCTGACAGTGAAGTCGGTATCGAGATCAGTGGGATCGTAGGCTGATTTATGTTGGCACGTTTTTCTGGGTTGTGTGAACGACCTCCCCAAAGTGAGTTCACAGCTTCCTGGGTTAGAGCTCCGTTTGCAAGTGCAAAACGGATTAGTTTTGCCCCGTCGGTAATGCTACCCGCCCCTAGGGTAATTATACAGTCGATTTCATGGTCTTCAACCTGGTTGATGATATCGACGCATTCCGAAATAGGTGTATGTGCGCTGATTCCTACTCGTATGCTGACAACGAGAGTGCCCAGCGCATTCTGTAGACGGCCAAGCGCACTGGTATTTGTTGCTATGCTCTTCGACACGATGATAAGGACTCGGGAGGCTTTGAAGGTACTTCCTACATGTTTTGCGCATGCCTCTGGAAAGGGAAGTCCATAGCTGAGCATTGGAGTTTGTTTGTGCTCAAAGGCAGGCTTGCAAACCTCAGCGGTGAAGAATGAAGACATGACCAGTTTCGTGCCCGAGACGACAGAACCTTTGAATGAGCTTTGCTAGAAAATTGCGTAGCTGTATTGTGGCTTGGTTGTTAAGCTGGCTAAGTGATAGACTTGTTTTACGGGTAGACGTACGTTGCAAGATAATGGTTAATACCTATGTCTGTTTGAACCGAGGACCCTTCTTTAGTGGCTGACTTGCTCGGCTGTTCGCTGATGTAAATTTTTCCCGGCAATTATACCCGACAACCGAAGCCTTCATATAGAGTTCTGACAACAGAGTAGAGTAGTCTAAGTGAAGGTATAGAACCGGCTTGAGATTAGACTATATGACCGATTGGACATGGATCCTTTTTTTTTTCGATGGCCTTCACTTTCTAATTGTTAGCCAGGCCACCTTCCTACTCTTCTCATCCACATATGCTGGAACTACTATGCTCATATTGTGTCATTCTTCCCCCAAATCTACTATTATCTCACTGATGAGGATATTGCAATTATTTCCCTACAGAACTTTGTTTCTATGTGTGCCAAGAAAGCATTGCCAGGTTTGATATCACCGACAAGTCAACGGCAATAGATGGCTTGTATTCATGTAATATAAATGTCCCCGCATATAAAAAAACCCTCTCCTTTACCCCGTGTTTACCCCATATTTACCAATTTTAAGCTAGTACTAGTACCGGTGTGGATTCGGTGCTGCAGCCCGCCGGCTACCAGGTCTAGAAATCAACTGTAAATTTATATCTTAACAGCTCTACCTGACTACATTGGAGGGCATATCCAAAATATATAAGCAGGGTCAGCTCCTCACATCCCAGCTGGTATCATCCCCGAAAACGGCTCACAACAATGTCGCAAGCATACCCAGACGAGAAGGTTCTTGATATCGATGAAAGTCATATCGAGGAAATCCAGACTCTGCCTGAGCTTACTCCCGCGGAAAAGAAACGTATCCTACGCAGGGTTGATTGTCGACTGGTCATCCCACTTGGAATTATCTTGTGTGTCAGCTTGCTTGATAGAACCAATGTCAGCTTTGCAATGGTAGCTGGCATGGATAAGGATCTCCATGTGGTCGGTTCTCGATATACCATTATTATTGCGGTTTTCTTTATCACCTACACAATTTTGCAGCCTATAACCACTGTCATTCTACGCAAAGTTGGAACGCGGCGTTTCCTCCCTGCCATCACTCTCGCCTGGGGTATTGTCATGCTCGGCTCAGGGTTTATCCAGCAGTGGTATGAACTTGTTATCGTCCGGATTCTGCTGGGCTGTTTTGAGGCCGGTCTTTTCCCCGGATGCGCTTATCTTCTCTCTTGTTGGTACCCCCGATACGAGCTAAACACGCGCAACGCTGTGTTTTTTATTATTGGAACTACCATTGCGGCCTTTGGTGGGATTCTTTCTTTCGGTCTGGCTGAGATGGAGGGCCTTGGATCAGGACATAATCTTGGGAAAATTAAAAAATCGGGGTCTGGTTGGACTCGATCACAAGGTATCGCAGGGTGGAGGTGGATCTTGTAAGAGTCTTTTCCACTTCAGTTTGCTCATTCTTGCTAATTATAACTAGCATAATTGAAGGGGCCATCACTTGCGCCGTGGCCTTGGTTGCTTACGCCTTCATCGTTGAGTTTCCCGAGGATGCAACCAAAAGAGAGTGGATGAGCTTGCCATTCCTTGATGAAAAAGAGGCGGCTTTTATCAGATCCAGGATCGATGCTGATAGCCAAGATCTTGTGATAGAGCCGTAAGTGGACAAATGCCCTTCCTCCTATGTTCCTCCTGTGTTAACTGATCGGTAAAGATTTTATATTAAAACGTATCTTGGATACGCGCTTGATTTAAAAATCTGGGGATTTGCGACAATATTCTTGTGTTCCTCCGTGCAGACATACGCCATGTCATATTTCCTCCCGATCATCTTGAAGCAAATGGGATTCAGCACCAGTGCCAGTCAATACTTGGTCACGCCACCATACGTGTTCGCAGCCATTTTGATATTTACATCCGGATGGTTGTCGGACAAGTATCGAATTCGATCTCCGTTCATCTTATTCAGTGCTTGTCTAGGCGTCATTGGTAAGTTCCACAGTGCGAATCACAAGGTGTCACAAAGCTGACGGAAATTTAGGGATCCCACTTCTTGGTCTTTCTAAAAATACCGGCGTTCGGTATTTCGGGGCTTTCCTCAGCACAGCTTCTGCAAATTCTATTGTCCCCGCTGTGCTCACATGGCAAGCGAATAATATTCGTGGACAGTGGAAGCGTGCCTTTTGCTCCGCGACCTTGATTGGCGCCGGTGGAATAGGTGGTACCATTGGAGGTACTACTTTTAGGTCGCAAGATGCTCCGAACTACTTGCCAGGTACCTATACTTGTATCATTGCAAGCTCCCTGGTCATTGTTGTCTCCCTCATTCTCGTTCTACATTTCCATATCTCTAACCGACGCGCTGCGAAATTCGGTCAAATCATCGAAGGGCTGGAAGGTTTCAGGTATACACTCTGATATTCTGTTGGAAATGCTATGTCAGATCTTGCTATTATCGTGGACAATTTTTGTACATATCCACGGGTATGTTCAGTGAATTACATATTTTAATTGGTGACTTGTGCTCTACCTCTCATGTAACTTATAACTTTGCCGATACATCAATATATGGCTTCAAATAAAAAAAAATGCATTTGATGGCCGTATCTTCTTTCCGCTTTTCGAGTTTATTGTTCCGAGTCTATCATATGTATGGCCTGGATATGGTAGATATGGTGGATACGAGACTGTTCATGTATTTTGAATTAAGGACAGGTATCTTAGTATTTCAATATTTTCCCCCTAAGGTTTGGCCTCCATTGAATAAAGTGAAAAATTACTAGCTGCCTTCAAAGAGGGAATGCAAAACTATCCATGCCGTAGTTTGGATCAAAAAGCTCTTGAAGCTGTGCTGTGAGATCGACTGGCCACTCGAGGTCTGAAAGGGGCACTGGCTGGTCAGACATCAAAAGAATTGCAACCAATGGACTTGTGTCCTGGGTCGCATAGGGGAAAAACCCCATCCAATCAACTCCAGCATCATTTGGAAGGTCAGTGAGTATTGTTACGGGCTGCTGAGTATCCATCGCCGACAGTGCCACTGAATCAACATCCTTGTTCTGGCCGTGCCCATGGTTCCCTAGCATGCGTTCGAATCCTCTATCGAACATCTTGGCTGAATGCCAAAGTAGTGTCATTTCCTTCAAGGCAAGACGAAGAACGCGAATATGGGCATCCGCACTTTTGGTCAGATTTGGGACTTTCCGTGCATGCAACAAGGCAAGGATAGCGACAGCAGCACTCCACCCTGCCACACCCTGCAGGAATCGAATGGAACCCCGTGCCAAATAGTCCTCAAAGATCCGCGCGACGCAGCCGGACGCCACAACTGCCGCGGTGTAAGCCTCTGGGAGCGACTGAGATGCTGTTCTCAGGTATAGGAGAGTTACTGTGGTGAGGTAAGGGAGGTGAAGTTGATGAACATCGCGGTTAAAATGAAGTGTGCGCTCGGTGGAGATTGGCAGTTGCAAATGCGGTGGTAGTGAATTGACCCATTGAACTAGCTCGGTAGCCAACTGCACTGGGAATGAGGATGATTCGGTCCTCTGGGGGAGATATTTGGTGACCCGACCAAGGATTCTGCACAGGCGCACCCAGTACACAAAGAGGGTACTGTTGGGGTCATGGGGATTGGGGAAGTCATGCACCGTGGGTTCTCCAATATCGCAGTCCTCTGGATCAATGATGCAGGGTCGTCCTTGGCAGATACCTGTCAGACGTTCCCTAGCCTTTTCGTCAAGGTTATGGTAAGCAAGTATAACCCAAAGCCAATGGAAAAATTTTCAATACTCACGAACAGAGTCCACCATATCCTACGTCGAAGGCCCGGTGACATGTTCAATGTCGACTGCTGTCCAGGCTTCAATTCATGATGGAGGCCAATTTGCTGAGCAAGTCGGATTGTAACACCTGTCCACCACCACACGGTATCTGTACTGACTACATTTGGCGCTCCTTTGCCCCACCAGTAAAATAGCATGAGTGCGGAGATACAAACCAGTGGGTTCCTCTCCTGACTGCTGTGGAAAAGAGCCTTGGCGCGTTCGTAGTAAACGTGTGGCGATTCATGGTTTAAAACGGGCGGTCTTATCTGACTCCCCACCAGTGCGAGGGAATTCTGCAGCAGAGGGGACTCGCGGAACGCAGGATCGCCGTATAGACAATCCTTTTCCAGGATCGGACACCATGTGTAGCAGTATTCGTAGTAGGTTTCACCATAACTTTCTTGCAGACCTAGGGACGGTACATCAACAGTTGCGTTGAAGCTTCCTGAGGCGTGAGGCGACCTAGGTACACCATCTTCATTATCCCCTTGGTCCTGACTGAAGATGTATAATAGGCCAGATTCTCCCAGGTAACTAGGGGCTACACCCCCTTGTCTCGACCGGTCCGAAGGTGTAGATGTGTTCAAATCTGGTTGAGGCAATGGGTGACATACAGGAGCGTGATCCGTTGTCAATTGGTTGGGAGATGGGTATGGAGAAGCACGGCCACGAAAAGCACCGACTGGCTGGTTCCCAGAGTCTACCGTGGGGGCAATAGATGGCGGCAATGGCTGCTGCTGTTGTCCGTCGTCGTGGATAGGACGGGGGGATTTACCCACAGTACGACTAAGGATTGTATCCCCTGTGCTTGTAGCAGTTGCGGCAGTATCAATGGCGGGAGTAGTATTGTTGGCTGTTGTAGCAGTAGTATTCGCACGACGTACGCCTCCCCTCCGCTTAGATGGCCGCGGTCGAAAAGCCGGTCAGCTCAGTTTCGGCATTTTTCATCATAGTGCATACCGGCATTCATTTGAGACCTGAGTACAGTTCGTACAGCTATTTGTGGGGTTGTTTTGAATATCACAGCGAATCTACGACAATCAGCACTCAGGCATTGTTCATATCGTGCATAGCTGTAAGCCCCGAGAGATCTGACAGACCTTTCTCTCATGGCAATAGAAGCAAACTACCCCAGCGCGCCTCTTAACCGGTTGGGGAAATTTGACACCATGTGGTGCGGTTTGCATTGTGGTAAGAACGGTTGCAAAATTCGTAGAATTGTCGGCAACCTGGTTATCTCGGTAGTTTTTAGGTACCCGGCTCTTGCCAAGCAACCCCACCTTTTCCGGGTGTAGCATGGGGTAGAGTCACCTGCCCAGGTGGTAAGGGCGGGGTACCTAGGTTCCATGGGTAATGGTCCCCCCCGGGGCCCGAGGGGGTGCTCTCGTCATTATCAGGGTTGCCGATACCCGTAGACCAGGTACCCGTTTGACTGGCATTGCCGTGTCGTCCATTAATAAGACATCACAGAGGTTTCCGAGATCCGTTCGATACTAAAAAATAAGCATTATTCATCATGTCTGCTAGCAAGGATTTGTTTCAGCAGGGGCTGAAAAACCGTCGGGAAGTGGTTGGGGATGAATACGTCAATCGTTCGCTACAGAACGGTTCCAGCGCGTTTGCTTTTGCCGGTCAGCAGTTGACAACAGAGTAACTGGCATTTTTCTGAACGGTGAAGACTTGCACTGACATTGCTTCCTCTGTAGGTGGTGCTGGGGAAATGCCTGGTCGAGGCCGGGCTTATCGCGCCAACAACGGAGTCTGCTCAGTGAGTTTATCCAACCCTCGCTGTAGCAAGGTCTAAACTCCGCTCGGTTACTAATATTTACTCAGATTTAGGCATGCTGATTGCGCTCAAGAGTTGGCCAGAGCTGGGTGTGCACGTTCGCGGTGCCATCCGTAATGGACTAACTGAGGTGGAGATCCGCGAGTCTATTCTGCATGCTACTGTCTACTGCGGTGTCCCAGCCGGTGTGGAGGCCTTCAAAGTGGCATCCAAGGTCTTGGACGAGATGGTTTCTTCAGGAGAGCACCAACGGCAGTTGAAGACACTTGATCCGGAATTCGCATTGTATGCCCAGTCTGAATGACTGGATGGAGGAAGGCGATGAATGATACTGAGGGGATGAGCAGGGCCAGGCCAGTGCCGAATGCCGCAGCAATCAAATGTACATAAAGACAGTCAAATCCAACCCGATATATCCAATACCATAAGCGTAGGCTTCGAATTCTTTGTCAGGCCGCTTGAGATTTCACAAGTACCATGACTTCAACACAAACCAACAATCCTTTCCCGCCCGATTTACTCCCCCGTTTAGATCCGCGGTTTGTAGAATATTATGACAAGAATCTAGCGGGCCGTCTGGGGACGCATCAAGTTCCCTTAGAGGAAGTGCGAGCGAATCCTCAAAAGTGGGCTCGAAAATGGCCTGTGAACACCACTCAATCCAGAGATAGTTTGATTTATGATTGGAAGATTGCGGGGGGAAGGGACTCTGAAGGATTCCGAATCAGAACATATCACCCAAATGAGACCCTAGCTGGCCCCGGGCCTTATGCGGTGCACCTCAACTTTCACGGTATGGAAAGGAGATCAAGAATATCAACGTTAAACTCACTGACAGGTACATTAATTAGGAGGTGGGTGGGTATTTGGAGACCTGACAACCGATGCTACACTCTGTCAACGCCTATCAGATCAACTACCACTTGTAGTGGTGGATGTGGAGTATCGACTCTGTCCTGGCAAGTTTGCTCGTCACAATCACGTTCCTTTAGTTTTCTAATAAACGCAAAAATTAGAGGCACAATTTGGACAAAATTTGAATGACGCCTGGGCTGCCTTACTTTGGGTACGTGTTAGACAGATTCAGTTTCTCCCATGCAATTTAGCTGACAGACTATATGCCTCAGACTCTCGAAAATGCGTTCACTCTCGATATTAACCCTTTATCCGTCTCCATTGGGGGAATTTCTGCCGGTGCCCATCTTGCTTGCGTCCTCCAGCACCGCGCTCGCGACGCCAACATCGCCCTGAAGCTTCTTATTGCAGCCGTGCCTCCACTCGCTGACCATGATCAATATGAAAAGCCCACAGACTCTCCTTGGCCATCCTTTTCCGAGTTCTCTCATATTCCTATGCTAAATTGGGAACGCATGAGTTTTTTCAAGCAACAGGCCTTTCCGACCGAGAAGCTGGCAAACATTCGTCATATGTATCCTGCGTGGTGGATCTCTCCTCTGCGGGCCCCGAACTTTGCAAATCTTTGCGATACTTTCATTGCAACAGCCGAGTGTGATATACTTCGTGACGAGGGCGAGGCATATGGAAAGAAGCTTATAGAAGCGGGAAACAGAGTCACATTCAGAAGGTGAGTAGGTTGAATGTACTGGAAGAGACTCATTCTAACCACTGTAAAGATATCTCAAGGTTCCGCATTCCTTCATGTACATGACTTCGGTCCTTCCTCAGGCGGAGCAATATCAGGAGGACGTTTTCAATGCGCTTAGAGTTGGTCATGGGCTCTGAGTTCACGCTACTAAAGCCTCGAGATAATAGACTCACTCGATCTTTGTTTGATACTTCTATAGAGGAAGCTCGTGTCTATATATCTCATTAAACAAGATCACTGACCAATTCTTTATCTTTGGCAATACTCTATTTGTATCCTATCAGCTTCGCAATCAAGTTAAAATAAGTCCCTCGGCCTACACACGATAAATGGATTACTACAGTCTCGAATGAATGAGATGTGACCGAAATCTGGCAGAGGGCTACCGAATATATATGATATTAGCTATGATATTTAGATTTATATGAGAGCCAATGAGTTGTTACAAAATTAACATGGCTGTGTAAACATATCCGCCAGATGCAAAATAGGACGGTGTTGGAAAAGTGAGTTAACTGGGTAATCGAACAAACGTCAAGTAGATTGTAGCAGAAGAACTAATTTCGACTTATCAAGATACAACAGCTCATTGCTTCAAAGAAACATGAACGTGACACTTGCGATTCCCATGAATTACCGCTCGGGCCTTTGGCGGTTATCCAAATGGCCGAGCGGCTAAAGTCTACAACGAATACCCGGCACTTTCGGCTCAGTGTTGCAGTTCAGTGATATATGTTGCTCTTTTGACAGGTAGTCATATTTAGACTTTGTTATATATGTTTTCGCTAGCAGCAAGTTATCCCTTCAAACAGAAATTGAAAAGCACCGAACTATTCAAGTTAAGATCATGGCGCCAAGTATCAGTTCTACCACAATTGCCAATGGCGAAGATTCCGTTCTCACGGAAATAGCTGCTGTGGGAAATGGAATCAAGACTCACTCTCAACCCCCATATGCAGTGCTGGATCAGCCGCTTGGGACAAAGCGACATGTCCGGATTATATGCATTGGGGCTGGTGCCAGTGGGATCAACATGGCCTACCAGACTAAGAACTTCCTTCAAGACGTGGATCTGGTTATATACGAGAAAAATCCACAAATAGGTGGTACTTGGTACGAAAACCGGTACCCAGGCTGCAAGTGTGATATCCGTCAGTATTCCCCTCTTACAAACTGGTGATAATAGCTAAGACGCCAGTTTCTGATAGCATCCCACAACTATCAATTTACTTGGGAGCCAAACCCAAATTGGTCACAGGTCTTCTCGCCCAGTGAAGAAATCGAAGAATACCTGGAACACTGTGTCAAAAAGCATGGTCTTTCCCGGTATATTCGGTGTAGCCACCGCGTGGTAGGCGCAGTGTGGAATAATGAGAAGTCAATTTGGGGCCTGCAAATTGAGAATACCGAGAGCAAGGTTGTCCATGAAGACTGGTGTGGCTTTCTTCTCAATGCCGGTGGCATCTTGAACAACTGGAAATGGCCCGATATCCCAGGCCTGCACTCTTTTGGAGGAAATCTCATCCACAGCGCCAACTGGCCTGAATCGGCCAATCTAAAAGGAAAAACAGTCGCTGTCATCGGCAATGGATCGACTGGAATCCAGATCGTTCCCGCCATTCAGCCAGAGGTTAAAGAATTGGTACATCTCATTCGGTCGCCGACATGGGTTACCCCTGGAGCAGCCTCTCGATATCCATCGCTAGGAGGGGCCGAAATGCCTGACATATTTTCTGAAAAGCAGAAGGAGATCTTTCGTACCGACGATACGACCTATACAGCTTTCCGCAAGCAGGTTGAGCGCGAGATTAACAGCAAGTTTCGTATGCTGGTCAATGGAGGCGAGCTAGCAGAGAAGGCTAGGAAGAATGCCTATGAAAGTATGATCACCCTACTCGGGGAGCGAGCCGCTGACCTGGGACATAAAATTATCCCGGACTTCGCAGTCGGATGCCGTCGAATTACTCCTGGTGTGGGATACTTAGAGAGCTTCTCAAAGCCCAATGTCCGTGTTGTGACAGGCACGAGCATCAAGCGCATCGAACCTAACGGCTTGGTCATGTCAGATGGAGAACTCATTGAGGTCGATGTCCTGATCTGTGCTACCGGATTCGACGTTTCCTTCGCCCCTCGGTTCCCCATTATCGGCCGCAACGGAGTCAGCTTAGCGGATACTTGGGGAGAGCCAAAAGTGGCACGAGCTTACCTCTCACTTGCGGTCCCCGAGTTTCCCAACTTTTTCAGTATATCCTTCCTTGACATCCTATCATCTAGATTGAAAAAAAAGCTAACTTGTACAGTGTTCCTAGGCCCCAATGCCCCGATCTCCCACGGCAGTGTATTCACCATCACTGAATATGTGTCGAAGTACATCATGCAACTGATTACAAAGGCTCAAGTGGAGATGATCAAGACAATTCATGTCAAGCAGCAAGCAGTAGATGATTTTTCTGCCCACGTGGATTCATTTATGCCCCGGACAGCTTGGGGAGGAAATTGTCGGTCTTGGTTTAAGCGTGGACATGCAGATGGGCCTGTCACGGGCGTCCATCCGGGAAGCCGTGTGCACTGGTTTCACGCCATGGAACGCCCCAAGTTCGAGGATTTTGACTATGAATACCTGAACGGAAATCGCTTCCAGTACCTGGGAAATGGCTTTTCGACGAGAGAAGAGCCTGGGTGTGACAGCACATGGTACCTGGATGAGATGGCGCCGCGATTCTTGTATTATTAGACACGGTTCACACTGACCATGCATCTGGGGGAATAGAAGCAAAGCAGAAGCCATGAAGTACAAATTTCTATCATTGTGAAACATGGTAGATTACTATAGTTATTTTGATATTGATCTTATTCACCTTCCAACACACTTGTGTGTATTCCATTAGGCCTTCGTTTTTGGGTGCAGCCTGTTATAGTCCTAAATCCATTCTCTGAGAGCACGAGGACAAAGCCATTTCTAGATAATGTAGGCATAGAAACCATCAAACACTCTTGCAAACTGGTTGGTAAGAATAAGGGTCATATTATGTATTTTTGTGCATAAGGCCAGATGGGAAAGAGACCATGAATTAATTGAGCTGTGGACTCAAAGAGAAAGTAACACAAATTCAGGTGAGGATTAAAGATCTACGGGGTCACCCTTACTGCCTCGGGCAGGTGGCCCTCTTTCTGCTCCCTCTCTACTAATAATAGTGGCTCAAATCGACATATGGTTTCTTTCCCACACGCAAATCGTGCAAATTTGTCGGATTTTCGACAATACCATATTTCAATGCAAAAAGCGCGTAATTCCATCATGTTCGACATCAGCAATCTTTCTGTGTCTCGAATTTCGCTGTCTTTCAACGAGCCCACTTTCGACATGCTACCCTTTTTGACGTCGCGAGTTTCCAAGAGATACTGCTTTTAACACAGTATCTCGCCCATACAATCATAGTCAGTTCCAGTGCCAGAGCCAGAGCCAACTGTCCGCCTTAGGCCGAAACGCTTCCTCAACAAACTCCTACCAGTTGATTTTCTACGCGAAAATACGTTCGATTCCAGGACTTCGATTGCAATTCTGACTACCAATTAGACAATTTATTAGGCCTGGTCCCAGTTTTCGTTGCCTCCAAGGTATCGATACACGACTCTAGAGTCAAGTCCAGCACACGCCGGGTCCTCACTGGCTAATTTGTATGTTTCCAACCCGATGTCACCCAATACTAACTTGGCACCGACCTGTGCAGCCATTTCCCGGGCCAGTCCCATATCCTTCCTCATCAGACTGACATGGAACCCACCACGATAACCTTTAGATGACGGTGCTTGCGGACAGAGCCCTGGCACAGGATTGAATTTGTCAGCAATGTGATTCTGTCCCGAACCTGCTGTAATCACTTGCGCCAAAATTCGGGCATCCATTCCAGCACGCATTCCCATGTTCATGGCCTCGGCCGTTGCAATAGTTATAGTGCCAGAGAGATAGTTATTGGCCAGCTTTGCGACAAGTCCTAGGGCCGGTCCACCGCAAGCAATAACCTTAGACCCAAGCATGCTGAGGATATCGGTTAAAATCTCAAAATTGGGGTCATTTTTGTCACAGCCAATGAAGATTCCAAGGGTTGCCTTCTCTGCGCCCAGTATTCCCCCGCTGACGGGTGCGTCGTAGAAGGACGCGGTGGGGTAGCTCTGCTGAATGTTGGAGCGAACTTCGAGGCATGTAGCGGTGTCGATTGTAGAGCAGTCAATGAGGATCTTGCCCGCGAGGGTAGTCGAAGAGATACAATTCTCGGACTCCAGGTAAACTTGCTTTAAATGCTGACCTTCGGGGAGCATGGTGAATATAATATCCTAAATAGTGACCTCAATAAGGCTCAATCAGTCATAGCACGATTAATGCATTCAACACGGGATCACTATCCATTTTGACATACCGACTTCTCCGCAACCTCCTTAGCAGTGTTGCACTTGACGATGGACTCAGGATAGCTCAAACACAGCTCGTCAACTGCAGCCTGGTTGACGTCATTGATATATATTTTCGTCTCCGATGGGGTCTTCTGAGCCAAATTTCTGACCATTAGTTTCCCCATGGCACCGACGCCAATGAAACCGAGTGCGTTGTACGATGTCATGGCGACCAAGACAAGATGAGTTGGCAATTCAGAATAACCAAATTGGAACAGCGGGAGGATACCACGAGATATAATGGTAATGGGTAGTCGAACGCGTAGGTCTAATATCGGTTTATAGTGTAGAAATTCACCTACTGCCAATTGATAGTACTTTAGCCGGCTAACCGTAACCACACGGCAGTCAATCAGCCACCGATCGACCATGTAATCTACACTATGCACAATACTCGTAGTACTCGACCCCCGAACCCGTTGTTTACTATACTTCTTTCATTTCTCTTTCTATTTCGCCGGTTCCTTTTGTTTTATGTTCGTACCTCGTGATTTCTACCCCAGTTTTCCCCTTCGATAATTAGTTTTGGGGGTTCAAAAGGCACAAGATAGAAGGAAAATAGACCGACTTCACATCATAGTTTTTCTTAAAACAAAGAAAGGTAGGATTATTAAGGACCAAATAATAATAAAACAACTTCCACCCTCGTTCAGAATGTCTTTTATAGAAATACATATCCAGCTCATCAGTTGCGTTGATTCTTTGGTAACCCCCAGAGTCACGATTGCTCAGCCTATTCGGAAGCGGTAGAAAAGAGCTCCGACAACAGATTATTGGCCCATGCAGCATCCACGATCGAAGTTGCACCTGAAATTCCAGATTCCAGATTCCCCGCATCCTCTGTTTCGGTTTCTTGGAAATATAGCCACTGAGAGCCGACATCATGCATTCTGGTTTCGTCACGGAAACTTCCACATGTAGAAGGTCCACTTGCTATCGGTGAACTAACTGTCTGCTTCAATCATAATAGTCAGAATCTGAAGGTGTCCCGGTAAGATCATGCTAATTTGCCTACCTCGCCATTACTGCTGCCGCTTGATAAATGTGAACTTTCGTTGATCATGGTATCACATAGCTGACTTCGTCGTGTTTCGATACCAGAATCTGACACACTCGGAGTTGGCATAGAATCCTCAACAAAATAGGCATGGAATGGCCTGTCATTGAATTGCTGGATGTCTTGCTGATCAGTCATACAAGGATCGTTTGTTCCGTATTCTATCACAAGAGAAAAATGGAAGGATTAGCCGAATTCTAGCTGAGTTATGAACAAGAAAAGTAACCGTACTTTCCGAAGAGCTCCCTGGGACGAACTGGGCCCGTACATCTGCCTCATAGTAGTTACGGGATGAAAATATCCTCTCAATACGGTTTGCAGTTTGTTTTGCTAGATGCCTCTCCTCTGGAAGGGGATTCAGTGTAGATGCTTGGATACGAAAGTGTTGTCTAGATCCCGTTTTATGGTCAATGTTGGCCGCAAGGTTTGATTATGAGACGGAGAGAAAACACACGCTCGAGTAGGACGAATTACAACACATTTTTCATGGTCCAATAAACAATTGGTACATCCATCGTTGAACGAAACATCACAGCGGATCTTGCGCTTCCGACAGGCAGTGCATGCTACAGAACCCCGTCTTCGATGCCGCACGGGGCCGAAAAATGGTGGATAGAATACCCTCTCAGGAGAATTTCCTGATTGGTATTCTGGAGAATTTGACATCTTCGATAAATTTTTGCCGGTTAGTTACAGCCAGACTTATGGAATACCCAAAGGATTTATTGTATAATTCATTGCCGTGAACAAAAGCGAACAGGCCGTTCGGCTATAATTTCAGCGTGTGAAGAGCAACGATCGGGCGGGTCCTCTGAGTTACGTGCTACTCCATCCAGGGACCTCCCGGCTATATGAACACGGGCACAAGAGGGGCTTCAATAGCCTGTAAATTTTGATAGGCTGTTATTGTATGGCGATCAATATAGGCTGCTTGGTAATTCGGTAGTAATTTAAACCAATCCACCGTCTGTGGAGAAGTGATTTTACTGTCGGTGGGACCTATATCCTCAATTGAAACATTCACAGTTGTACCCCGCGAGGAGTCCAAGATATGGCGCAGTCTACCTACGTACGTTATAAATAGATAGCTGCCTGGATGCCACCGTGATCCTGTTGATTATTGCGTCCAACGTTCCATTTTTATCCTGGTTCCATATTCAAAATGACCGACACCGATAAATTTCCCTTGCAACACGGACAGCATATTTTCAGCGTGTTCGGCGAGAAGCGCGTCATTGAATACATCGTTCATAATACTCAAAATACTCGGTTTACCAAACAACATCCTCTTCTCGTCGTTCAATGTCCTGGGTGGGGATTAGCGTCTCGCTACCTTCAGGCTAGCTTGACATCCCTTGCAGACCACTTCACCCTCGTCTTCCTTCATCCCCGCGGTTCGGGAGCATCATCTCCCCCAGATTCCTACTCAGAAATGAGCTCATGGGCAATGGCAGATGACCTAGAACGACTGAGGGTCCACCTTGGAATTGTCAGTTTCCCAGCACTGTTTGGGCACTCCCACTCAGGCGCTATCGTGCTAAGCTACGCTGAACAATACCCTGAAAAGGTTGAAAGAATTGTTCTGGTCGGTCATCAGCTTATTGGGTCTAACATTCTGCCTCAAATAGCTTCTTTCGTGCATGAGCCATGTTATAAGAGTGCATTTGAGGTAGTTATGTCACCTGATATACTTACCGATGAGGAGTTTACACTGAGTCTAAGAGAGCTTCTACCTCTCTACTTGAAGAACCCAAAGGCGCACTTACCAGTGTTGGCTGAGGCCCTTGGTGAAGACCATCATTCGGCCTGGTGTTACCATGCGCAGAACAAGGCCGATAGGGAGGCCGTGCAATTGGATATGGAGAAGGACGAGATACCGGTTATGATACGGCTGTTGAGTCATGTGAAGGCGAAAGCCCTTATCATATATGATAAGGATGACAATATCTGTCCACTCAAAAATGCGTATACTACTGCAGAGGGTATACCAGGGTCTAAGTTGGTGGTATATGGAGATTGTGGCCATTTCCCTTGGTTGGAAAAGCTAGATGTCCTTCAGGAGGTGAAGACATTCCTTTTGTGATGATTCTGCTAGATATGAATATGTCCACTGCTAAGTCAAACAATCTCCAAGATCTATACTGGAACAACTAAAGCTTTGAATCTGGTGAAATTTTTCATGACAATGAACAGTCCGCGGAGCGTAGAACATTACTTAACTTATAGTTAGCCAAACAAATACGTTGGACAATGAACCACTTTTATTACCCGAGGGCTTATGTATTGCACAGCTTTATATAGACACCTCTACTTCAATATTACTACTACATAATGTACATAGTATATACACATGTAGTTCGGCGGAGAAGTGTAGTTAGTTGTATAGTTTCGTTCAACGATGGATGTACCAATTGTCTACTGGACCATGAAAAATGTGTTGTAATTCAGTTTCTTCTCTACAACAACTTTGTCGTTTACAGTTTAACTATAGTAGATAGACAGATAGGCACCGATTTCATTCCCAAGTTTAGCTAATGATCAAGTGTCAGTGGACACGGGAAAGGGAGCACGAAAGACAAGCCAGCATCACTTTAGAATATCAAGAAAAGATCAAGATCACAAATCCAAAGATTATTTCACAAGAAATAAAATGAACAGAATCTGACAAAGCAAACAAGATTTGAGTATCAAGGGTCAACTGAATCCTAATGAACGGAATATAAGGATAATTCTGTTGCCTCGTCGAGAGTTGTCTGAATACCCTTTTCAAGGTCTCCCAGCTCTATCTTCAGTGGACAAGAATTCCCAGCTTCGCAGCTGTGTTTCAAATCTTTCCTAGCCTGAGATATGCGGTAGGCGATAGCTGAGGGAGGAAATGTCTGGAATGGCGTTAAAGATGGCCACACTCCACCCTCCCGTAAAACCTCGAAGTATTCCGCTACCCTATATTCCCAAGTGCAATATTTGACAGACAGATTGGCATTATTGCAAGGATGGCACTTCTTTGCTTCACTTGGAAGTGTTCGTCCGCATTCCGTACAGACCCGTCCTTGCATAATGTAACATTTTTGATCTTTTCTCAGAAGCTCTTCAACACATTGAAGCCTGCCATGAATGCTGTTGGTTATTTCTTCGACGCTGTCCGACAGCTCCGCTATTGCGTATTAGATAATCTTTTGCGTTTTATCTGAAACAGAAGCTTACATTTGATAGACTTGGGCAATCTCTTCAAAAGTTAAAAACTCTCCCACTCGAGGGCAAACCCAGGAGGTAGGTCCGCCTGAACTTTCGCAGTGAGTTTAGAGAAGTGATCTGAGCTGCGGAATAGATGGGTAGCTAGAATTAAATAGCCAAATTCTTGGTCCATTAGAGTATAGATTGATTCAAACTCATAAATCCAATTCGACACCCATGGTCGAAGTGCCTTCACGCAATCGTACTTGTCACAATGGATGGCGAGCTTAGCCAGCCATTCTGTACTGTTGTAAGGTATCTCTTCTGGCTCCTGGTAATGGAGTAGAGCAAGCAATACACGCATTAGGTCCGGGTCGTCGTCGTACAAAGGGATCTCGGGGCAGGTACAGGTCGCCACTTGCGCTCCTTCATAGAAATTTGGCCCGAAGAATTTTGCAAATACCAGTGAAGCGAGACTGAGTAGCTTGGATGATAAAAGAAAGCGTTTATCGTCATCGAGGGATTTACCCTTGGCAACAATGATAACATCCCCATCTGGGTCAAATGTTTCAACCTCGTGATCTAGCTCTCGACTTTCTTTTGCTGCTTTTCTAGGCATCTGGACCCAAGGTTGTTTCAGAAATTTGTAAGGGGGAGAAAATGAATGTATGAAGAAGAAATCCTTTGTGATATGTGATGCACGTCGTACTCGGTGTCTTAAGGAGCAAGATGTGAGGATAATGATAGACTGAAATGCTCTTTATATAGCTTCATAATAAATAAGTAACAAACGCTTCAATGCTAAGACAAGGGGCAAACAAAGGCCTGACAAACTCCATGCAAGCGAGCAATTCATCAATGCATCAATGCACAACTATGTAGGCATAGACGGCTGCTGCTCTACACTGCATACCGTTCATCGAGAGGTCTGTTGGATTTATGGAAGTCTATACGAGACATGTACAGAACTTGAAGTACCATGTAAAGCTATACAGTATGGCGAATGAATGTCGGTTCATTCAAGCCTTGAAGTATAGGAGATGGGTACTTGGTGGAAATCCTTCTCAGAACAATTTGATCGTAACATTCCTCCTACTAGTATGTTTTTTGATTTATGCATGCTTTTATAGAGCATACTTGTTCATGATAAGCTTGATACTAAACTCAGCGTTACTTCGTACCGACTTCGATCATACCCTATCCGATCCCAATCAGGTAGTACATAGTTTCCTGGATATTTTCAGCCTAGTGTTTATACTGACCCTCTTTCACTGTTATATTGCGGAAGAAATAGCTCAGTTTTGATAAATCGCTCTCGGAAACCCTTCCGTCGTATTGAATTGGCCACTCCATGTATGCAAGTTGGATCTGCCCCGATAACGAACATTCACGACCAATGTAAATAATCCTCTTCAGTTGTATCCGTGTATATTTGAGTCTATCAGATTCTGTATCACCTCCCCTCATACATTAATGTCCAAGGAAATAGCCCCGCGATCTAGAGCCAGTTCGAGTTATTCCAGCGTAGCGAGCACTTTTTAATTCAAGATCGGACCGGGAAGATCAGCACCAAATAGATAAAAACTCCAATTCGGATCTTTTGCCGATCCCCCGCATTTTTATACATATTAAAGTGCACAAGCCGCTAATGTGAGCAACATTATTCACACCTCGAATTAAACAACCCAAACACCCAATATGGTTGATGTTCGACAGTATGAGCTATCTCCAACAGATCTCATCCCAAACTCGCCGAGACCTTTACTGCACTACAAAAATGTCCTCGATATAAAACCCAGCAGCTCCCATTGCGACCCAGCCGAGGTCTGGGACATGTTCAGCCAGAATGGGTGGGCCGTGCATTGGATATTCCGATACGGCGAAACACAACTATCACACTACCACTCCAGAGCACATGAGTGCATGGCCGTTCTCTCCGGTACGGCCAAGATCAGATTTGGCGTAGCCGACACCTCCGATGATCTGTTCGAAAACACACACGGCTCCTCTTGGGAGCAGGGCGGGATTGAACTGGAAGCGGAAGCCGGCGATGTTTTTATCATTCCTGCTGGTGTGGCGCATAAGACATATGACACGAAGCCTGAAGCAGAGTTCAAGCTCTTAACCCCAGGGAACGGACATGGTATTGAGGCTGATGACCCGAAAAAAGCGTTGGATGGTATCCAGCTGACTGGCTATACCATGATGGGAGCTTACAATGGTGGTGACTGGGATTTTGTCAAGAGTGGGGGAGACTATGAGACAGTATGGGCTGTCGCTAAGCCGAGTCATGATCCTGTATTCGGAGAGTCTGAGCGTGGGCTTTGTAGGACATGGCGTGGAAGTGATATTGCGTCTCCCCATCTCCGAGCTATGTTCGGTGCATAGCTAGTGCATATAAAGTAAAGATTTTTTTTTCTCTTTATTATTGTAGAAATGGCCTCTGCATTCGCATAACGGCAGAGGGAAACCTAACTAAATAGGAAAAACCTCAACCAAGACAAGATGGTAATATCATAAATTAAACATCAAGTTCCGCCGCATCTCCACCCGCTGCGTATTCCATAACAGTAACAAGACCATTATAACGATCCTCCCATTTCTCAAATTGATCTTCACCTTCACTATGAGCGGGCGTGTGCCCTGCTATCGCAAAAGTGGCAAAGGCCATGGAAAGGATGGCGAAGAATTTCATGAGGGATGCTTGCTTTCACAGAGAGTATAATAAATGATGAGTTTCGGAAAAGAGTCAACGACTATCATTCAGTGGGTATTATTACATAGCGATATGCTACATTATCTACTCAGAAAACCCCTTCCGGCTTGATGTTTTCGGATGATCTTCCTCAGGGGAGTCCCAGAGTTACCAAATGGATCAACGGCGATTATGACTCAGCAGGTTTAGAGGCGGGGAGGGGAGATTTAAAAAAAACGCGATAACATTCCCCACAGATCGAATGTCCCTCATTTCACGAATTGAAGACTTGTTTTGCGCTTTTGATGACATCTGATCTAGTATGACGATCCGCAACCCCCTTCCACTCTCCGATGAGTGGAAGGATCCCGACGAATATGTCCAAGCCCTCCTCTCCTTCGCAACTGAATCGCTCATGTTCATGAATGTTTGCGGTGGTGTGCATATCCTCGATTTCTTGACGCGCGATCCCGATCTGTATACGTCGCTACTGCCAGAAGATTGGCGATCATTCTTCGAGCACCATGATATCCACAGCATCTTGCAACTGCTACTCCGAGAGGACATTGGTCCGCTATGCGAACCCGCCGAGATAAACGGAGCCTCCGAGAATGGCAGGACGTGGAACGGAGGCGCATTCCCACCCGCAACACTCCTTGAATATATTCGCAACATTCGACGACTGAGCTTGCGCCGCGAGTTCAACCCATCTGAGAAAAGCGAACCTCTCCCGAGCCATATTGCTGTCGGCATGAACAAGAAAAAGAAGCACGAGGTGGAGCAATTCTCTCGCTATGTCGCGTCTTTGTCGGAGACGGTCAATGAGCGTCGTGGAGAGCCCTTGTCTCACATTGTTGATTTTGGGTCGGGACAAAACTACCTGGGGCGCATGCTAGCAAGCTCGCCCTATCATAAGCATATCATTGCCATTGAGCGAAAGCACCAATACATCAGCGGTGCTAATCGTATGGATGTTCATGCTCGACTGGCTGCAGAGGAAAAGAAAAACACAATGCATAATGCAAAGCGAAACAAATTAAAAAAGCAGTGCATCGACTGTATTGACACTCCAGAACTAGCTTCAGAAGTAGCCACTTCGGAAACCCCCAAGGTTCTGGACCCGGAGATGGGAACACCACTGGAACTGATCGATGGAATGCCAACAGAACCTGCTGGGCAGGATGAAGATATGACCTCTAACATGCTAGGTGATATGACCCTGGAAGCCGATGATGTGCTCGGCTCGAACTACATAAAACCAGCCGCACGCGCACCAAAGCCACGACCGGAGATCGACACTAGAGGAACTGTCAGCTACATCGAACATAATATCCAAGATGGCTACCTAGAACCGATCATCGAGCACGTCGTCGACCCAAAGACATCAGTTGAAACCCGGACTAGCACAGAAGAAGTCGTCATTCAACCCACAGAAAAGAGACCGAGTGACGCGCGGGTGATGGTCGTTTCTCTACATTCATGCGGAAACCTCGTTCACCACGGAGTCCGATCACTAGTGCTCAATCCTTCCGTTGTAGCAATCGCCATGATCGGCTGCTGCTATAACCTCCTGACGGAACGATTGGGACCAGCAACATACAAAATCCCCATTCTTCGATCCGCCCACCCCCGCCTCAAACGAACTGGATCTTCATGGGACCCGCACGGATTCCCAATGTCCAAGCTCTATGAGACCTATCAAGCAAAGACCACAACAGGCTTCAAGCTCAATATTACAGCCCGCGCAATGGCCGTTCAGGCACCCTACAACTGGGGCCACGCCGACAGCGAAGGATTCTTCACGCGCCATTTCTACCGCGCTCTGCTGCAGCGCGTTCTTCTAGATCGCGACATCATCCCTAAGCCCGACGTGCCCAATGATCTCTACAAAGACCACACAGACGATCCCGATTCTGGCGGTATAGCGCTAATCGTGGGCTCCCTGCGCAAAACTGCATTCGAGTCTTTCCCTGCGTACGTACGTGCTGCAACGGTCAAATTGAGCCGTGATCCGACCCGCGGCGAGTTGGTCAAGGAGCGCATCTGTACCATGTCTGAAGAAGAGCTACAACGCTATGAAGCTGATTACTTGCACGCGCGGAAGAATCTGAGTATTGTGTGGAGTCTTATGGCGTTCAGTTCTCAGGTTGTTGAGGCTGCCATTGTGGTTGATCGCTGGCAGTTCTTGCGCGAACATGACTCTGTCAAGGAATGTTGGGTTGAGCCTGTGTTTGAGTACGGTCAGAGTCCACGCAATCTGGCTGTTATTGGCATCAAGAAATGATTTCTGTTATGGGTTGGCTTTTGGCTGCATTTAGATATGATTGGGAGTTTGTGCTTTGGGGCTTGGGGCTTAAGGCTTGAGACATCCTGTGTGTTATGGGGTGTCTCAGTACATAGCGGGTGATTCCCTTTTGAACATGATTGCATAGAGCGTACATAGGTTTCCAATGTGGAGGCCGCTACAATGCTTTTTTTTAGATACCTAGCTGGCTATGACATAACATAATGTGTGGCTGACCTGCATATATGCAATTCAAAACTTGATTCGGGCTGTGTCCTACCATTTCCTGCCTGTTTATGAATACAAAATTAGCCCGACATCGGAGCTTGAGAAAACACTTGAAGCCACTTGTTCTCAGCTTTGATTAGGCTTCTGAAGATGGCCGACCCATATTAGCTGGGAAAACACCTAGGAGTTTGAAAAAAAAAAATAGTACTTTGAATGACTAGATCTGCGAGACAATTTCGTACAAAATACCACTCTTTCTTCTCTTCACTAGTATTCCAGCCAGTCCAAATCCAGGTATACCCTCGTCTAGGTCATCAAAACATAACACATCACGCATGCATCAAAAGGCAGTCCACCGCGTGCCACAAGCTGCCGCAACTTCTTGCGCCGGTCTACCAATCATCCCCTTCCAGAACTCAGAAGTACCAGGGGGAACGAACTCTTCAATTTCCAAAGACAACAAAACATCAAAAATCCAATCCTGGCAGCGTCCAATTGCATCTCTAGGGGCAGGCTCCTTCTCAATAACCTTGATCGCGTCGTGCCGTTGTTGAGATGTCAGATCGGCAATCTTGCACATCCCCACAGCTGCCTTATCGATGATCTTCGTCGCGTACCGAGGCGCAAATCCGTACCACAACCTGTCTGAATCGATGACCTCGACTTGAAGGAGATCGCCGAATTCTAGGTTCCCGGGCTTGTTGATCATGAAACCCCAGTGGGATCGGTGTGTGGGGCTATCGCCGGGTCCGAAGACTTCTATTGAGAGGTTGTAGGCCATGTTCTAGTCAGTGTGAGTGGATTTTCATGTATGCCGCATCAGGGATTGAGGTACCTTTCAAGTGAGGGTTTTGTACGTGCAGAGTTTCCGCAGGAGATGATTTCTTGCGAGATGTAGTCACATAGCTTGGCTTAAGCGATGCGCCTATACTGTATTAAGACCAGATGACTAGATGTGATCTAAATTGACGAATGCGAGATCCCGACCAATTGTGCGTTGTCGATAGGCGCCATAACCCCTCTTTGACAGCTCGAATATGCCACTAGTTTAACTTCGAAATATATTAGGATGTTGACAGATCTCACTAAAAATCGATATGTCCATTCATTACAGCAATCGGGGCGATCGAGCACTCATTTTCCAAGCACGGACATGCCAATTGCATCCCTCTAGCTCACCCACGCCTCATGTCTCACATCTAGATATCCAATCCAGCGAAAAGCACATCATTAACAGACATTCAATTTTATGCACGTAATAGCGTATGTTCAACTAATCTCCACACTCCCCTCAGGCACACCCTGCCTACTCCTTAACCTGCGCGCAAAGAACTGCATAACAGGCATCATTTCCTCGCGACTCGACGGCATCCCATCTCCCTTCCTCGCATACCGGCTCACCTCAACGAACTCAAAAACCTGCTTTGTCCTACGCACTGCCTCATCCGAAACAGCCACCGAATCCCTCCCCGCAACTAGCAGCACCGGCGACCGATTCTTATCTCCAGCCCTCGATCCAGATAACGGATATGGTGCCCCGATGGAGATAATCCCGGAGAGAGCGCCGACCTCACCACTGCCCACATTACCATTTCCCTTCAACCCAAGCTCCCGCGCAATAGCAAGCGCTGCCATCCCGCCCTGCCCGAAACCCAGAATCATAATCTCCCGCGACATGTACCCGCATTTCTGCACGAGCGTGCCGCGCACAACGTCGACGAGCGTTTTGGTGCTGCGCGTCAACCCCGCATCCATGTCTAGTACGCCTGTCGCGGAGTCGAAGGAGATATCATCGCCCCAGTGGAAGCCGCCTAGGTCTAGAGGGAGGGGGGATGTTCCTTGAATTGTGACAATGGTTGTTTCGGGGAGGCGGATGGCTTCGGCGAATTTTGTGAAAGATGCGGCTGTGTCGCCGAGGCCGTGCAGCAGGAGCAGGATGTTTGGGGCTGGGGATGTGGATTGGGAGGGGGAGGGCGGTGCGGGGGTGACAGTGACGGTGAGTTCCGACGGGAAATCGGATGGGGTGGGGTTTTTGGTCGGCATTTTAGGACAGTTGTGTCGAGTCAAGTTGAGTTGAGCTGAGTTGGAGCTTGCGGAGCTTGGTCTCGGAGAATCGCGCGAAGTGTGGCTGAAATATGTAAGTGTGGCTTAGAGCTCGGCTTCTACATGTTTCCTGCCCTGGAAGGTACAGGGCAGTACTCCGATGTGTAATGCCAATGGAGTATATTACATATATAATGCTTAGTGATGTAATTACGGAATACTCCGAAAGCGTCTCGCATTAATTGGGATGGATTCACTTTCAGGTGTATTGTGAAGTATTGTGGCTGCCTGGCGCTGATCGAGATCTTATTACTTCGTAAGATCTTCCATCATTTTATTAAAAGAACAAAAAGCTCAGCCTATCGCCTTCAAGCAATGATTTATTCTACTAGTTTAGTTAATCTGACACATGTTGTGTTGTATCTAAGGAACTTGGCCAATACACACTTGTAGTAAACAGTGTTGCTTTCACAATTTGTATATTTCTACAAGTGTGGCTTGTCCGATGTTCCAGTACGTAATTGGTTTGCGGTGAACCCACTCGGCTTCAATTTCACCAATACAGAACACTTCTTATTATCCTCTACAAACTCACTGCTTATTAGGAGATGATTATGGGTGATGCCCGACAGTCCATGTTCGCCGCCACCTTTCCCGTGGCTAGTGTTGCCGAGACTCATAAGGCGATGACAAGCCTTGAAGAGAAGCTTGGTCCAGCTCAACCAGGCTCATGATGTCTTGGCTTTCAACAGACTGCGTAATGAGTACCGTGTAATGGGCCTGCAATGGAGCTAGTATCGTCCGTATCCTGCCCTTATTCGTCTATCCGTAGCGGAGTAGGGCTGAAACGACCCATTCCGGTCCACTAGATGGGCGCATTATTGGACATGGGTAGGACACTTACAAACTCGTAACGCCGAGCGCCGGGGTTGAATACTCTACCGTATGTTCGAGGTGTTGGAAACTATTCTACGGAAAGTAGGATTCGTACTACAGAGTACAGCATACACAGTGTCACACAGTATAAGTTATGCTTTGTTAAGTTGGAGGGTTGGACATGCATATAGAATGCCTCTCAGGGCGACCTCCTGGACCAAAGAGTGGCTCAGCTGGGATCAGGTAAAAGCTAAAAACAACTCGTGGCGGGGATTGTGGTAGAAAGTCCTCCCTGTCCGTCGCTGGAAAGGGCCGAGTGGTCCTCCAATGAAGTCGTAGACTAGCAACATGGTGGTGCCGATGCTTCCACCGCAGCTCCTAATGGAGTTGCCTCATCGCCCGAGATACCCGATAATACAACTACAATGTACACCGTGAGCATCTGGTACCTTCACCAGCCACGCGCCAATACTTTGAAAGCTGCGTCAGATCACTGCGCTGAACGGGCGTCTCGGCTCCATCCCCTGACATATCTATATCATACACCGTACTTGTGTTGTAGGAAGCCTCAGCCACAATTCGCGTATGGTGGGGCAAGTCGACCTGAGACAGAGGGAGAAAGCTACTTCCGAATGTTAGTACAACGTGGACTACGTAGCGCTTCTGGAGTATTCTGCTGTCTCTCCTCCTACAGGGGTATATAAGAGCCCCTCATCCCCTCACTCGCACGTAGTACAATCCTTCTTCCATCACTTGATAACTATACATTCTTCTGTCACTTTCCTCTTTTCATCTATACATATTCATAATGGCTTGGGGCTGGGGTAAGTCCAACCTTCCCTAGACACACACCTAAACCTTACTGCTTGCATGCAGCAGGCAGGGCCCGACCCGACCTGCATAGCCGGCGACACCCCAACATCACTCAATTGGACATCAAAGCGAAAACGATGCTAACGCCAAGCTAGACGAATCCGAGAGGGCACACCAGGAGGTGTACAACGGTGAACAGCACCACGAGGGCAAGTTCTCTCATGAGTTCGCTGCCGGCGCCGCTTCCTTCGCCGCCATGAAGGCATACGAGGACCATGAGCGCAAGTCGGGTACGTGAAACACTAGATTCAATTCCCTATTCAATCCATCATTAGAAAATCTTCTGACTTGGATTCGAATAAACAGGCAAGCCAGTCAGCCATGCCTTCGCCAAGGAGCTCATTGCCGGACTCGTCGGTGGCGAGATCGACAAGCTCGCCGAGACCAAGGGCATGGACTGGGTTGACCGCGAGAAGGTTAAGCACCACGCCAAGAAGAACGCCGAGCACATGTACGAGGAGCGCTACGAGCGCAACAACTACTAAGCCGATTGTCTCGACGATGGTGATGAATGATGAAACTTGTTTATGAACACCCTGTGGTCGCGTGAGCTCGCATGTAGTAAGAGTGAGATGTGATGTATCAAACAATTTGACTATCTCAAAGTTGTACCTGGAAGGAGCGGTGAAGTAAAGCGACCAATGCGATCCAAGATCGATACCGATATCGACGTCGTATGCATGTACTATGCACGGGCTGCATGGCATAGTTCCGACAGACGTACGTGGACGTACGTACGTAGCCCTATGTCTAAAACGCTCGATCCCCTACAGAAAATATGCGCCAAGCTTTCATAGGGGGGTCGGGTGTGTCTTTTGAGCCAGTAACCATTATCAGAACCCGCCGGCCACATTCCGGTTGCATTCCAATACTGTCGTAGTTTAGATAGGAGAGCTGTCGTTGCGTCAATCCCCGATGAATTGCGTCTGTATTGGATATTTTCTTTTTTTATGCATAGGCAGTGATTGCGGGATCCCTGCAAAGTTGAATAATTGCACAGCTGAGTATGGATGAAATGAGGATATCCCCAGTTCTTAGATTCCCGAATTTAGTAGGAATCCGGCCTTGTGGGTCTGATGCAGAGTTGAGGCCAATCACAATACGTTGATGACCTATAGTGGGTTGGAGGCCTGACAATCAAGGCGTCCAGAGATGATGAGCTCATACACGTGCAAAAAGTATAGGGTCAGCTAAAGAGTTTTTGCGGTGTTGCAGTCGCTCTGGGAGATTCTCGAGTTTTATATATCGGCTCGGAATTTCTATTTATTTTATTTCTTTGAGGTCCTTCTTTTCCGATATTGTTCGTCCTCCCTCTCTTCTCAGGTGTGGTGGTTAGGCCTTAGTTTGCTTTCGTTCAAACTTTTGACCCTCGCACGTGTGTATCAAAGTCGGCACTCCAGGTCTAAAACCGTATGAAATGACGGTGGTTCATTGTTCAGGATGAAATTTGCCAAGTTTGTATTCCCCCGTGACAGTGACAGTGTGCGACATTCCAGTGGCTGACTCAATCCGCAGAGAGCTGGAACAGGAACTGGTTCCTGAGTGGCGGGCAAAGTATCTCGACTACAAGGTTGGTCGTTGTCGCCACATTTATTGTACCACAGTTTGTGCTCATCTGGGTTTATCTAGACCGGCAAAAAGAAAGTCAAGGCCATCACTCGAGCACTCCAGAAGGCGCACCGAAGTCCCCATGTCCAGTCCCATAAAAATCCCACTCCCGCCCCGCAAAGTCGCGGCGCAGCCGCCCACTTGGCCCTCACGCCCTCCAACACCGATAAACCGCTCGATGGAGGAGAACATAATGCTACACCTACACAACAGCGAGGCGGCTCCACCTCACCATCAATAACGCGGTCCACGCCGGTGCCCAGAACCGAGCGACAACCGCTTCGCACGCCAGGATCGCGGTTCTCTGAACATGTTGGTAGTTATGGAAGCATACTTGCAACGCCGCCACAACATTATACTGCAGGCTCGGACGTAGGCTCATTTGAACTTCCGGACCCGGCACTTGACCCAGATGAGGAGTATCTGCCACACGAGGATATTGCGGAAAGACCCAGAAATCTCCGGACACCTTCGCCAGTTATAGATCGCCGTAGCATGGCGAACAATTCACCCTCTCACCCTATTTCAGAACCTTTGCCGGCCCAGAGGCCCCAACTGGACCAACGGGCGAGCTATCAAAGTCAGATGGGCGATGCCTTGACAAAGGTGACATCGGGCCGGACATCACAGCTTCTGCGACGTGTATTCACGGCGGAGGGAGATTCTGGCGTGAGACGATCACAGTACGATGCCAGCGCTAGTGCTGAGCTTGATAAACGCCAAGATGAGTTCTTCGAGTTTTTGGATAGCGAGTTGAACAAGATCGATGCGTTTTATGTCATGAAAGAACAAGAGGCCACCGAGAAACTGCGGGTCCTTCGCCAGCAATTACATATTATGCGAGATCAGCGCATCCAAGAGGTTCTAGCTGCTAAGAAAGCTGTCAAATCTGATAACTCACAGACACAGCAACGGCCAAATGGATTCGCCAAAATCAAGAGCGTTCGAATCAAGGATACATTGGTGGGGAAGAACCGTTTTGGCAAGAACACAGAAGCGCTGGCGCAGATGGCGACCCCTGGCATGCATGCTCAGGATCGAGAATTCATCGCCAACCGGAGGGACTTTATGCGGCGACAGGATTCAGCAAGTAACGAAGTGCCCTATCGCTCTGCTAAGCGCAAGCTCAAGCATGCGTTGCAGGAGTTCTACCGCGGAGTGGAACTCCTCAAGGGTTATGCTTATTTGAATCGAACGGCTTTCCGGAAGATTAACAAGAAATACGACAAAGCGGTTAACGCCCGCCCACCGCTCCGGTATATGTCCGAGAAGGTCAATAAAGCGTCCTTCGTGCAGAGTGAAGTGATTGAGAGCCTGATGGTAGCGGTCGAAGACTTGTATTCCCGTTACTTTGAGCGCGGTAATCGCAAAATCGCTGTCTCCAAACTCCGTCACACAATCAACAAATCTGGCGATTACTCACCCAATACGTTCCGCTCTGGTCTGCTGCTGATGGGTGGAACTCTGTTTTCCATCAAGGGCTTGGTTGATGCTACGGCAAATCTCCGCTCGGATGATGTGTCTGAACAAGTTCGGACCAGTTATCTTCTTCAGGTAGGTTTTTCGCTCTCTCATCTGTTGTGTAACATTATTGACGAATTGAGCAGATATATGGTGGGTATTTCCTCATCGTGTTCCACGTCTTGCTCTTTTGCTTAGATTGTATGATCTGGACAAAGTCGAAGATCAATCATGGATTCGTTTTCGAATACGATCCTAGACACACCTTGGAGTGGCGTCAGTTGCTAGAGGTATGTCCAATTTCGCGTTTTCGTATGATCCATTCTGACGATTATAGATCCCTTCTTTCTTCTTGTTCTTGATGGGCCTATTCATGTGGCTCAACTTCTCATGGTACAACCACATGTATATCTACTGGCCTGTCGTGCTTATTGGCTTGACAATAATTATCATTTTCTTGCCGGCCCGTGTTCTTTACCACAGGAGCCGCAAGTGGTTTGCTTTTTCCAATGTGAGTTGATATATCATCATATGACCGTCGATCTAGCATATCTAACCCATCTAGTGGCGGCTTTTGCTTGCCGGAATCTACCCAGTCGAGTTCCGTGATTTCTTCCTCGGCGACATGTACTGTTCTCAGACATATGCCATGGGAAACATCGAGCTCTTCTTCTGTCTATATGCCTCGTACTGGGGCTACCCTCCCAAGTGCAACTCCTCCCATTCTCGACTCTTGGGCTTCTTCCAATGCCTTCCGTCAGTCTGGCGTGCTTTCCAGTGTATTCGCCGTTACCTGGATACGAAGAACGCATTCCCCCATCTCCTGAACTTGGGCAAGTACATATTCGGTGTCCTCTTTTATTCTACTCTCAGTATGTACCGCATCAACCTCCACACGCGGTTCCAAGCCTCGTTCATCACCTTCGCCCTCCTAAACGCTGTCTACACCTCAGTGTGGGATCTAATCATGGACTGGAGTTTGGGTAATCCATACGCAAAGAACCCAATGCTCCGCGAAGTCCTCGCCTTCCGGCGCGTATGGGTATACTACGCCGCAATGCTACTCGATGTAGTCGTCCGTTTCAACTGGATCTTCTACGCAATATTTATCACAAACATCCAGCAGTCAGCCTTGCTCAGCTTCATGGTCTCCCTTTCAGAAGTCTGCCGCCGCGGTGTCTGGTCCATCTTCCGTGTCGAAAACGAGCACTGCACAAACGTGCTCCTCTTCCGTGCTTCACGTGATGTCCCTCTTCCCTACGACATCCCCTCACCAGCTGCACCCCTCGACGGCTCACCGGAAGATGTCCAACTCCAAGAACAGGCCGCCTCAACACCCTTCATGTCGCCCGGCGACGTCGAGCAGGGTACCCCATCGATGTCCAGTATGCGGGCCCGCAACCGCCGCCCCTCGCTTGGTATCGCCCGCGTCGGCACGATCGTGGCCTCAGCCCACGCGCAGGATTTCGAGCGCAGACGTCTACCAAATTACATGTCCAGCGCGAGTGTGGGACGAGATATGGTCAATGCCGCAGACGATAGCACGGACGAAGACGACGAGGCGGATCTGAGCACGGATGAGTCAACGGCTGAGCCTCAACAGTCGAGACCGGCTTTAGAGCGCAGGGATACAATGGGGAGGATTGTTGAGTAGGTTTCAAGAGAGAGGATGTGCTAATGACTAGGGGGGATATTGTCTATCGGCTCTGCCGGGGCGTCGCCCTGTTATGTGATGTGATGAGATGAGAACTTATAGATGTCTTTAGTATTTTGCATATACCTCTTATCTTGCTATGCATACATAAATATTAATATTGCGTTTCGGGTCAGCTCTCCTCTTCCGCCACAATCATACATATTACGAGATATGCTCACGGATACCTGGCCCGAGTCCGGGCTGAGGTATTTGCTTTTTCGGAAGCGTATCCGCGTGGTATGAGCTCCTGCCCCTTCGGTGCACATGGCCGGCCCACGGAGAAAGTGCCTGATAAGATCACACGGTGTGTATCCGCAAAGATAGCAGGAGCAAGGTGCACAGCGATTGCGCGAAGGAAACTGCGGTCGTCTGTGTGTATCTTTGGGCCGAGGCTCTGAGCTCCGAATTTCCCATCTGGAGGGTTGTCTCGAGAACTGGCTGGGCCAGGTCCTGCGCGGTGAACCTAATTATCTTGCGTCGGCCAGCCTCCGGCTGTTTCTAGATCCTGCGTGGCGAGCTTCTTGTCTTGTCTTTATCAACGAACATTGAGCTTAGCCTAGCGGTGTGACTGTCTATCCCTTGCTTGCAACACTAATATCAGCGCCGCTGCCAAAACACTGCCACGATGCGATAGTAGAGCATTGAAGCGACGGTCGTAATTGGTACAGCATGAAAGCACACCGATTCGATATTTTCCGGATATGTGAGGAGCGAGATGGGGGAAATGCTCATGCTGCGAAAGAAGGAGAGAGAACAAGCAAGATCGATTGAAAGGGGTAGGTTGTTGCTATCAGCTCCACCAGCCTCAACAATATATGAGGTCTCTTACCACCTACATAGGCATTGATCTTCTATCAGTAATGTTGGCACCTACCTATAGCGGTTAATCTTGTTTTGTCGTAGCGTAGAACACCCTTATTAGGACACCCTTTTTAGGGCTGTTTCCGGCAAGGTTATTTCTAGAAGGGAACTCCATGCATGGATCCTGCATCCGGGACTCTTCTAGAACAGCAGAAGAAAATCACGCAGACAAGGTTTAGTGAGATTATTTTGAACGGTCAGAGATAGGATGCCATTGGAAGTAATACTAAAGTGGATCGTACTCAGCGAACTAGTATCAGGCTTCTATTTTCTCCGCACAAAGTACGTACTCTACTGTTGTTCGATGTTTCAGCTCGAGGACTAGAGGATGCGATTGGAAGGAATGATCGAGGTGGATCATACTGAATGAACTAATGTTACATTCCTATCTACTCCGTACACAAGTACCGTTGCTCAACGCTTCAGCTGCTCCGTATGATTTAAACGGGAGAAGAAGCCTTATCCTACAGTGGATAGGGCTCGTATTGCAAATTTTGTCTACGGAGAACACCGTGGAGCATAGGTTAATATTCTAGCAGGGCGTAGGATACCCAGTCTCATCCTTTTAATATGTACATACATTATCAGTGCAGTTTGCATGGCAGATTCCTATTGCGGGTGTTCCGGACCGACGATCGCACTCTCGCGTACTCCGTAACAGAGGGGCCAAACTATACGTCAGTCCCACCAATGTCGAAGAAGATAGATATGAAATATGATAGCCACGATAGTGATGATATCTACTCTGTACAAAGTACAATATACGACCGGCTACAGTACCCGGTCAAAGCAAAATGGCTCACGGGAAAAGAACCGGTTGTAAGATGCTTGGCCAAGGCAAAAAAAGCCACCTAAGCCCCCTTTTCATCTTTTCCCCTTAAACCCCTCACAATGGTACGACACTGACGTCGATGCTGGCCTTAGCTTCGATATTCTGCTTCAGCGCTTATCTAGATGAGAAAATATGTGTTCAGGTTTCGATGTTATCTGAGCTGAGATGCAAGTTAACCTTTTTGTAGGGAGTCCTGGAGATAACATACAAATGAAAACGGATGGTTTGTCAGACATCCATGTAACATCAAAATGTTCCCTGCAATTTTTTTCCCCCCAATGCAGGGATTCCCGGGGCGTCCGGAGGCGGAGGAGGAGGCGTTTGGGCGTAACGTAGTTTAGTTAAGGTTGCACATTTGGAACTTCTCCGCCTCTCCCCCATGGGGTAGTTATGGAGTCTCTGAGTCTCCAAATGCAGACTACTCTTTCGAACTCCACATAGTCTCCACGTACTTGTCGTCATCAGCGGGCCGGTCATGGAGGATTTTCTAATTTGTTTCAATTTATTTCTTTTCCCAGTTTCCCGCAGATCTGCGCTTGAGCGCTGCAACTAGGCTAGCGTATGATTCCATTGTAAGAGCGAATATACGCAGTCCCCACAATTGGATATCCTAGACGACTCTCACCATTTACTGCATTGCCTCCAACTGCCCAGCTCTTATCTGTCTCACTCGGCACCCCATCAGTCAGGCAACTGTTGATCGGACGAGGTTATAAGCGGCGTGACATCCACATACTCCCAAGACCCAGTTTTTTTTTTGTATTCGTACATTCTCCCGCAAATATGATGGATATGAAAAAAGAAAAAGATTTAGAGGACGTTGTTCCGTCTAACAGTTATGATACTCACCATAATCCCCCTCAGAACCATGACGATGTGTTTGGAGAAATCACTGACTCCGGCCCCAACTACCGAAATGTATGTGCCTTCTTTACTTCTTCTTTGTTCTCCACAAAAATATGCAATTGACTCAAAACTAACACCCACTTTAGGTAGGATGGGCAGGAACAGTAATTCTCATGATGAAGAGCCAGATCGGCCTCGGTGTCCTTTCAATTCCAGCCGCTTTTGACACATTAGGACTCGTACCAGGTGTCATTTGTCTACTCGTCGTTGCAATCATTACAACATGGTCCGACTATATGGTCGGCGTGTTCAAGCTGAACCATCGTTCAGTATACGGTATCGACGATGCAGGTTTCTTGATGTTTGGTGTGATCGGCCGTGAAGTTTTCGGCTTTGTATTCTGTTTATGTAAGTCTGTACAACAATTATAGACGACTCCCTCCTAACCTATCTAGATTGGATTTTCGTCGCCGGCTCAGGAATGCTCGGTCTATCAATTGCCCTCAACTCCGTCTCAACCCATGCCACATGCACAGCTGTCTATGTTGCCGTTGCAGCCGTGGCAGGAATCACCTTCGCTAGTATTCGCACGCTCGGAAAAATTAGTTGGCTCGCGTGGATCGGACTAGTTTGCATTCTGATCGCAAGTTAGTTCTATCTACCCATCTCGCTGGATATAACATAGTCCTAACCAATGATTTGTACTATAGTCTTCATTGTCACCATCGCTGTCGGCGTTCAGGATCGCCCCGTCTTAGCCCCGCAAGAGGGACCTTGGAAATCCGACTACAAGGTCTTTGCCACTCCCACATTCAGTGAAGCCATCACTGCCGTTGCATCGATTGTCTTCGCCTACGCCGGCACACCCGCTTTCTTCTCTATCGTATCCGAGATGCGCGACCCCATCTACTATACTCGCTCATTGATTATCTGCCAAAGCACCGTCACTGCTGTCTATATTACCATCGGTGTTGTAGTCTACTACTACTGCGGTTCATATGTAGCCTCGCCTGCTCTTGGATCTGCTGGTGACACTATGAAGAAAATCAGTTATGGCTTTGCCATTCCAGGTCTTCTGGTTACTGTGATGCTGTTCATTCACGTAAGCGCTTCCACTCAGATCTGATCTCTTAGACCGCTTTATCTATACCGAGTATGAACTAACAAAACACATAGCTTCCCGCAAAGTTCATCTTCGTTCGCGCCCTTCGAGGCTCCAAGCACCTCGCCTCCAACAGCATGGTGCACTGGGGTTCGTGGGTAGGCTGCACCGCAGGAGTCGGTCTGATTTCCTACATCATCGCAAGCGCCATTCCCGTATTCGACAGCCTTGTGTCGCTTATCGGTGCTTTGCTTGGCACATTCATGTGTTTCCAGCCCATGGGCTGCATGTGGCTGTACGATAACTGGAGCAAGGGCAAGGTCCACCGCTCCCCGAGATGGATGGCTATGGTTTGCTGGAGCGTCTTCGTTATTGTTATTGGTACTTTCATGATGGTCGCTGGTACATATGGATCTGTTGTCAGCATTATTGACAGTTATGCGGCGGACGGCGGTTCGTCTGCTTGGTCTTGTGCAGATAACTCAAATTCGACATAGATTGGTCGGGTCTAGAGGCTGGCACTCTTGGTGCCACTATGTTTGATACAGGGGCATTAGAAATACTTATATTTAAAATGTATTAGAAATTTCATTTAATTCAAATTCTTCAATCTCAGTGCTAGGGGGAATTTGCCTTGTACACTCTACGCGTTTGTTGCTCGTCACAGGTTGTACAGAAATTCCGGCTTTTTATGGGTATTCTCAACAGTGGAATAAAATGATGATGTTCAGAAATGGACCCAAAGGGACATCTAGATGCCGTCTTAATATCACACAAAATCAATATTGACAGGCCAGATGCCAATTTTCTTAGGCTCCCTAGCTGAGGTCAGACCTCATTTGAGACCTATAACCCCAGTCTGTTCAGTTGACCAACAGATGCTCTTCAGTCCCTTTGCTTTCCCTTGATTTCTCAGGTATAGCTGCTTAATTGTGATATACATTAATATCAATTTTTGCCCTAGCATGACTCAAACAGTTCGCTGAGAGTAAGTTTGCTCTCTATTTATGCCTGAAAGCTATGCCTCGGTATCCAGCCTAGCTTGCCAGAGTCAGTCACTGGTTTTGCAATTTTCAAACTTCGCTGCTTTCCATAAGTTTGCCTTTCCTTCCTCATATCTCACTTTTGTGGGCTCCTAAAAATGTCAGACACAATCTACTACAACTCACTTATTCTACCAACTATTGAAGAAATCAAAGCATCCACTGATATTCTCTCAGATGATAATTTAACCACAGTCGTCCGAGTGAAAGAACATTTCGCAGTCAAGTACGGAGACCATCTCCATCTAATCGAGGTCGACAACCTCCAATTTCTCGCCGGCCAAAATATCCCCGTTCCAAGAGTCTATTCAGCCTTCATCGACCCAGAAACAAATATCCGCTACATTATCATGGAATATATCCCCGGCCAAAGCCTAGCAAAGCTCCTTCCATCCTTGCAACCCGCCGAAAAGACCAAAATCTGCAAATTGCTCAAAGACACCTTCACCCGACTACGCGAAATACCCTCACAAGGATACCTCGGCGCCCTAAACCGCCAACCATATCGAAACGGATTCTTCGTGACAGAAGACCAAGAACCCGGGATTTCTGGCCCATTCAGAAACCAACCAGAGATGAATGTCACGATCCTCAACATATTGTCCTACTTCGCGAGACCTGCGTACATTCGATTCATACGGGAGATCATTAATCGTACCTTTATTGGACACCGAACGGTGTTTACACATGGAGAACTGAGATCGAAGCATGTCATCGTTGAGCAAATAGGGCTTTGTGAAGATGGTAGTCCCGACTTCAAGATTACTATCATCGAGTGGGAAACTGCTGGCTGGTATCCTGAGTACTGGGAGTTCTGTGAAGCGATTATTGCCTGTGAACCGGGATTTGACTGGTTAGACCAGCTGAGGGTGATTTTCCCCCCTTATCATAGAGAGCTTTTGATGTTGCAAAGCATTCATAGTACTGTCTGTTCTTAGAGGAATGATGGCTCTCTTGTGTACCATTCTAGTTGGATTTTCTGAGCGAGCTGTCTGCACTCATGCCTTTACTCTTCTCTTTCCTATGTAGTTATCTTTTGTAATTGTTCTTCCATAAATTGTTCTTGATCCCAAAAGATTTACATCATCGTTCCTGCCTTATATATTCCGAGAAGTCGGTTGCTAATATAGCCTTGTCGTGTATTTTTTTAGTAGTCTTTTGGTAGTCTTCTTAGTTATATGCTACATCGATTTCAGATGACTTTTTATTTTACATATTTTCTTCCCTTCTCAGTCTTTTAGGTAGAAATACTGTCAACTTTTCTATGCATAATCTGGGGACATCTCGGGCCCCACAAAAAGTGTATACGTAAGCAGTTCCCGCCCCATATTGGCTTATCACACGTGACCCGTCACATCACTTGAGGCTCCACCTCCATCCAGGCTTCACTCATCTTACTCTTTGTCGATACATTCCAACACTCTATACCAGTACCGAGAGACTAAAGGTATCTCGAACTACCACCATGGCTGCAAATACCAGATACGAGCCCGCTCCTCAGCGGGACTCCATGGACGACCCGTCTTACCCCCAGGCCCCTCCCTCATACCAGGCTACAGCGACGCCAGCGGAGCCAGCGCCTCGCAGCGAGGGCGATAACCTGCCAGATGATTTCAAGGTATGGATTGTGCCATTTGGAGGCCTTGCGCCAGGCTAGAAAGATGAAAACTGACAGACATAGTTCGGAGGCACTGTTGCCGAAGGCACCATTGACATCCGAATGCAATTCGTGCGCAAGGTATACTCTATTCTGTAAGTCCAACACGATCCACGAACGCAGATGCAAGCGCACCGATTCCACAAACACCCTATTAACGCACATCCCCCAGAACCGCCCAACTCCTCCTCACAACGATCCTCAGCTCGATCTCCTTCTTCAACGACTCCTACCGCATCTGGATCCAGTCCAACTTCTGGTTGATGATTATCTCCGTATTCGGAGCTCTGGGCTTCATGCTCGCAACATACTGGAAGCGCAAGTCCTACCCAGCAAACCTGCTTTTCCTATCCGGTTTCACCATCCTCGAAGCATACTCAATCAGCGTGGCGACATCTTTCTACGACGTGAAGGTCGTAGTACAAGCGCTCGTCCTGACACTCGGAATCTTCGTCGCCTTGACGCTCTTCGCATGCCAGACCAAGTACGATTTCACCGACTGGATGCCCTACCTGTTCGGCGCACTGTGGTTCATGATCCTGTTCGGGTTCGTGTTTATGTTCATTCCGTTCAACAGCACCATTGAGATCGTGTATGGTGTGCTTGGCGCGCTTATTTTCTCGGGATATATCCTAGTCGATACGCAGCTGATTATGCGGCACTATCATGTTGAGGAGGAGATTGCTGCTTCGATCTCGCTCTATCTCGATGTGCTTAACTTGTTCATGTCCATTCTGCGGATTCTGAACGGTGCTAACAACAATAATTAATTGCGCTTTGAAATGTTGAATGGTGGAGATGTGGTACGGACAATATTTGCCTGAATTACCTGCTTTCGGCAAGTTTTGGTCATGAGGACAATTGCTGGACATGCAAGCTTGTCTTTTGGTGCTTTCGAAACTGGTTTCGGAGTGAGTGTCTTTTTGCTTTACACCGGGTCTTACTTGAATCGCTTTCTACTATCCACTCTTCTTCATTCATCTCTTGAATTTTTACCAGTCTATTCATTATACGTCTTCCATGAATCCTGTCTTTCCTCTTGTTTCCTTATCCAAACAAAACAAAATATGTAGCCATAGTATACCCGCATAATAGCAGCCAACCAATATAAATTAAGCAACCGAGTCAACTAGATACAATTCTCCAAACGCCCAGCATGGACAACCCAATCAAATGAAATTTAAACTGCGCAAAGAGCAACAGAGCGAACATCTAGAGTAACGCGCAAAGAACAAAGAATATGCAAAAGGAAATGAGCCTGGTGGACGGGCGAGAAAAAAACCAAGGAACAAGGTTCCTCGGACAGTATATGGTAGGCCGAAAGATCATGACAACATCAGGTCCGGGCCAACAAGACGTAGAGGAAGGAATTTTCATGCAGAAATAAAGGAGCTCATTTATGTGAGACTTTAAAGAAGGTGTTCGTAATCAGACACACAATCATAACAAGTAGGCCGTACAGAGCCAGTGCCAGGCTGAGTCGGCGAAGTAGTGCCTTGCGCCAGTGGCGACTACCACGAGGCAAAAGGCCACTCTCGGTTAATGAGCGAGCGAGGGAACCCTCGCCATCATCGCCTTCGTCATCTCCCGAGAGATCATCCTCCGCCTCGTCGTCCTCTTTCATTAAGCCCTGGTGGGTAGGCGAGTTGGGCGAGGAAATTTTGTAGTAGAACAAGCCCGGGAGAATGAAGCTGATGCTCGTGCTGCCAGTGCTCCCGACGTATGCCAGCACGGATTCGAGGGACGACACGGTCATGGCGACTATGTAGCTCAGGACCAAGATGGTGGTTGTGATAATAGAGAAGCGAAGATCGCTCATTGGCTCTGGGGTGCGGTTTCCGCGTGGGCCTAGCAATGGATGTCGGTTTGGAGAGCTCTCCGTGCCGATTACTTGTTGTTTGGGGCGCCATTTTAGGACAGCATCAACTGAGGCCCGGCATGGGTGGCATTGTAGTGGATAGGAGAAGACTACTAGCATGACGATTGCGGCCCGGCCGATCGTTGCATACACGCCGGGTGGGTACATGCCGATGATATTGCCGCCTACATGGTTGCCAAAGGATAAGTACCCGGTTATGGCAACGAGAATGTATGTTGCAGCTGCGCTACCGGTGCTTGCAAAAACAACGGCAGTTGTGCGGAAATGGCTGTTATTGCCGATTTCGTTGAGGATGGAGAACATCTGGAATGCTTGTTAGAAAAGAAAGCAAGGACCACGACTCGGAAACTCACATTTTGATGGCAAGTAAATGCGAAGACAATAACTGGCAGACTGCTGAGAGTCGGAATTGCCCCGGCCCAATGGACCACACGAATCGGACCCCGATCTTCCATTGTGTCTCCCTGGATAAACTTATACACAACCAAGACAACCAAATAGCCCATGGACATCAAGGCTGCGATACTAGTATACTTCAAAGAATCTAAACGGCGCAGGTAGGAAAGAGGAATCACAATCAACCTAAAGTCAAATGGTCAGCACTTCACCCTCGATTAGGCATAACGCACAAGGCGACTCACATAAACGCTGTAACCCAAAAATGGCGATCCACCAGGAAATCGTATCCCGGCTCGCTGCCAACAAAGCCCTGTACCACCCCCGGCATGAGGTCTCCAATGATGATGAGATAGCTCACACCGACTCCGAAACATTTGATCGCAATCGCTGCGTCAAAGACCACGGCCGCGTTGGGGTATGTCAATTGCGATAAGGCAAAAAATGAGGCGCTTCCACGGTCAAGGTATTGCGCGCATAGGGATTGTAGATACAGGCCGAATCCTGCTGTGACTCCGGACCATAAGACCACACAGACGCCGAGGACGATTCCCATACGGGAGATGGCTAGGGGCATCGCAAGCACACCGGCACCAATGACTGTAGTGAGACATTGTATCAGAAATCAGAGCGCTTTATCCATTGTGTGCTTCCTTCCACTTACTCGTATTGACCAAGTTGATCACACTGCTGACCCAACTGGCCTCACCCACAACATCTCCAGGTCTTCCACGGGCTGCACGTCTAAAAACCCCCAAATTAGCCCCTTGTCAACACCAAGTCTTTGTGATACAGCCTACCTCCGCATCGCATTCTGGGATGCCCCAGATGGACTGATGAGGGCGGCCTCTTCCATTTTGATATTGGTTATCTGTTTGCGGAAATGCGGTTATCGGTCGAAGATAGGCACGCAACACATAATTAACGGCCGCTACCAGCGGGGCCGAGATCAAACCAAAAGAGAGAGTGAGAGTAGTTTAGTTTAGAAGAAGCACCGGAAAAAGGAAAAAGGGAGGATTAAGGAGGGAAAGTACCGTGGCCAGTTGAAGGCAAGGCTTTATCGGGATGACACATGACCGGCTCTTCCCCGGGACCTTTTACCTAAAAACGCTTAGCATTCTACATAATTACCTAACTACATCACTCTTGCAGAGCTGGGCATCTAGGCGCCTTGAGTTATTTGAAACATTGTCGGGATAAAGTGATACTAATTATATCTTCGGCAAACCCCATCCCTCCTGCGACAAGAGTTGATAACTCTCTTCCTCGATCGCGTGATAATCGGATGCAGTGTTTCCAGGCCGTCTACCAGGGCCAGGATCATTAAACTGACTGACAGCTCGCACCGTCTTTGACACCTCCAGAATCGTGCCTCCCTCCACCTTCAACTGCGGCCCATGACCCGAGCGGTCCCCGATAATCTCGCTCACCTCTTCCTGCTGCACAAGCGCCAACATCACCTCCGCCACTTCTTCAGGCGTCACCCACTCATCAGCACCCTCATCAACCATCTTCATCTTCTCCGGATTATCAGTCCAGAGCGGAGTTTTGATAACACCTGGAGCCACGGCCGTGACTCGGATTCCAAACTTCTTGTCGAGATTGGCGAGCGACCGCACCAGACCGCTGATGGCGTGCTTCGTGGCGCAGTAAATCGGAGTCCCAAGAGCTGCGTTCTGGCCTGCAATGCTGGAGATATGGACGATATGCTTCGGGCGGTCGCTGGTACGGTTGTTCAGGAAATGAGCAATCGCCAGCTGCGTCGTGCGGATTGGGTGGGTGATGTTGATGTCGATCAAAGCGTATCGGCCACCAGAGGCCGAGTCCTTGCTTTCGGCTGAGCCAGGCGGGCGCCAGAAGTTGCTCCAGCTCTATATTCATTCTAGTTGTAGTTATGCTTGTAGTTTTGTTGGGATTGTCTTTTCTCTTACCGGTTCGTACACTCCTGCGCCCGGGCAAACAATATCAATCTCACCGAACTCTTTTTCCGCAACCTCGAACATCCGTTCGAGCTGGACCCAGTCAATCACATTGGTCTCTTGGAAGACCACTCGTGCAGGCCCTGTCTTGTGCTCATCGACTAGCACTTGTGCCTCAGGACGCAAGGCTAGGTCTGCGATTAGGACATTGCAGCCGTTTTCCGCAAGCAATTTGGCGAAACTGAGATTGATCCCTGGATATACTGTAAGCTAATTGTCTGTTACTGTACTCCGTAGTATACATGAGACATACCGGAGCCAGCTCCAGTTATAATGGCAGATTTTCCTTTCACTGAGATAGACATATTTAGAGTATTAACAATGAAGTGTTTATGGATTCCACAAGGAGGGGAATCCTGCCCTCTTTTATGCAGGAAATGGACTCTGTGGAACCTGCTCGGGGTCTTTTGCAGCGCATTCTAAGGTCTCGCGGGGTAGAAGAGCACTTACCCATCGGGGGCCAGAGGAAATGGACGGAGGCCGGCGTGATGCCCGAGATGTCTGTATATCGTATGCACAAGGGGTCCAATGGCAGTCTATTTCGCCATTTTACTTGGGTGTGTGCTAGGTCATCCGACAGCAATTCCCAGGTTCCCCTCTTGCTGACATTCCTTCAATTTATAATAGTACTTTGTACATTGTTGGGTGTAAAGCTGCTATATGCCGTAGAAGCGAATCAGCAAGGGTGACGCAGAGTAGGGCTTGTCTGTCTTCGGGATTTGAGTCGAAAACTCGGGAATACAAGGTTGACTACCCTCGGGCAATGGCTTGATGCGGTATACTTGTCAAGCATAGGAACGCTCTACGAGATCTAGACTTTCGACAAGGCTGCTCTATATAATCAATCAAACAATAGCCCTTATAGCATTGAATCGTATATTCTTCGAGTAAGATAGCGCAACAGTTCAAGTGCCGGGGTTGGTTTGTGGTATGGCACGTAGTGTTTCAATTCGTATAGTCCATAGAGTTCTCACAATGTAGATCTTCCATGCCCAAAGCCTTCGGCTTGCCGTGTTCTCGAATGATATTATCCCACGGCTAAATCTTCGAGAAAACTTATTGCCAATATTACCATCTTTAGCCCCATGAATGGTGGGTTCTTTGCGGACTGATGTCATGGCGAACAGGAACCGAGCGGGTAGACCTCCCAATAGAGTAATTCCTTGGCACATCGCTCTTTCCGACAGCGGGTCGACTACCTTTTATGGCATATTCCCGCCTCAAGTAAGGCATGCTGTGTTCCCCACGAAAGACATATAAAGCGCCGGCGAAGAACCCCGCAGAGTTAGAATACACACTTGCGAATTCAATTCAGCCATGTCTTTGTCAAAGTTTATCTCAAAATCCGCTATCAGAGCGGCATCTACCTCGGCCCAGACAACCAAGGCCGCCGGTGATATCTCTTCAGTGTTCCCCAGCTTGAGACCTGACTACAAGCCGGAACCTCTCCCTGCACGGTTTCAGGAGTTGAAGGCGAGAATCTTCGAGAAGAATAAAGATGCACTCACAAAAAGTTGGGAACGATTGCTTCCTAGCTTGGATGAAGAAGTGCGAAAGATCAAGGCAAAGGGCAGCGATGTATGTGCATATTCACCCGCATTCTCGAACAAAAGACTGACTTAGAAATACTAGATCATCCCCTCAATTGAGTACTCCGACGTGATATCTGGAAATGTGTCCGAAGCCGCATTCAAAGAGATCCGCCACCGGGGCAGCGTGGTCGTCCGCAATGTGATCCCCCGGGACCAAGCCCTAGAGTATAAGCAGCGGATCCGCGACTATGTAGCCGCAAACAAGGAGAGAGTCAAAGCCTTCCCAGCTGACTCCCCAGCTGTGTATGAGCTGTACTGGACTCCATCGCAGGCCGAAGCCCGCGGCCACGACAACATGCTCACCACCCAGCGTTTCATGCAACAACTGTGGCATTCATCCGACCCTAACAGCAAGATCTCAACAACCAACCCACTCACCTACGCAGACCGTCTGCGCATCCGCGATCCAGGTGACTCAAAATTCACCTTGGGGCCGCACATTGACGGTGGTTCCCTCGAGCGCTGGGAAGACCCCGAGTACTCCCGCGTCTACACCAAGATCCTGGAAGGGAACTGGGAGCAGTACGACGCATGGGATGCGCGACACCGTCTGAACGCCAAAATGGATCTATACAACGGTGCCGGAGCATGCTCAATGCTGCGCTTCTTCCAGGCCTGGCTATCCATGTCGGACACCAAGCCCGGTGAAGGCTCGCTACACGTCTGCCCCATGATCAACCACAGCACAGCGTACACCATCCTGCGTCCTTTCTTTGACGTCGAGAGCTCAAAACCAGCCCTGGATGCTACATTCCCAGGCTCCGTACCTGGCGCTTGCCAGGAGTACAACCCAGTCACACACCCCCATCTCGATCTCGAGTCGACTATGGTGTCAGTACCGCAAGTCGCGCCTGGTGATTTTGTCGCGTGGCACTGTGATTCTCTTCACTCCGTGGACAAGGAGCACCGTGGTACACAGGACTCTAGTGTCCTGTACATCCCTGCTACTCCGTTGTGCGATATGAATGTTGAATACCTCCTTAAGCAGCGCGAGGCTGCGCAGAGCTATTCGCCTCCGTGGGATTTCCCCGGCGCTGGTGGGCCCGGTGAGTCGGGATTCAAGGGTGCTATGAATTGGTCGGCGCTAAGCGCGGAGGGCCAGCGTGCCATGGGCTTAGGTAACACTCCTTGGGAGATCACCGAGGCCATGAGCGAGGGTGAGAAGGAAGCTGTGCGGTCGGCCAATAAGGCCTGTTTCGGTGTTTAAGATGTGTTTGGGTTGGATAGCATTTTTCTGGAGTTTCTGTTTGAGTAGTTTGTTCGAAGCTGTACAACAATTTCAATCTAAAAATAAATAACTAGTTATCGATTATTACCTTTGACGTAAAACTATTTGGAAATGACGGCATATTCCATATTAGGATTCCTTATCCTCGAGGCTGGAGATCCCAACAAACCGCAACTCGGCGCCACAGCAAAAGCGCCACAGCATCACTAGTGCCACAGCATTTCGCCACAGTAACCCCACAGCGACCCAGTCGCCACTCAGGGCAACCCTAGCAGAAGAGGGGCAGGCTTTTACCTAGTTGAACGGATTCCCCGACGCAATTCGTTTTCTTTTTCCTTCATCTCTCTACTAAGAATATTTTTGAACTCGCAAATACTTCATCCAATCACTATCATCATGGATTTCATCAAGCAGGCTGTTTCCAGCGCTAGCGGCCACAAGGAGAATAAGCCTACCGAGAACAACACCCAGCAGAACGACGACTACGTTGACAAGGGTGAGTTTTTTTTTATTGCTTGTTGCACAATACGAATTTTTGACTGACAAGCCTTTACCTTAGCCTTCGCTGCCGGCGTCAAGAAGTCTGGCTACAGCCTTGACCGCAACATGCAGGAGAAGATCACCGACGGTGCTCGCGAGGCCTATGAGAAGGCCACTGGGTAAGTGATGTTTCAAATTCTTTAGGATTGGATACCTGCTAACATTTGCTTCTGCGATACAGCAAGCACGTCAGTGAGAAGATCTCCAACTAAACAAGCTCATTGGAAGGAGCAATAATCATAAATGGGAGGAATGATTGAATGGATACCCAAACAGAATCGCAGATAGGATAAACATGTCAAGACAATGCCTATACCTAATGTCTATACTTCACTAGTTATACAAAGTACGGAGAGTAGTTAATCTAAACACTAAAAGGATCACAAGATTCAAGGTCAACGCGTCCGAGGCTTATCTCACTAAAGCGTCTACAAAACAAGAGGGGTAAGATAGCTAAGCTTAGATGGGATCTTCATTTGTACCGTGGACCTGTCAAAACCCAACCATAGCTCGGAGATAAACGTATGGTATCACGTTACCATAGAAATCGATAGCGCGATCTACTTAGATCTTGCCTAAGTGGGCCCCGGAAAAGCTCGGATCCTCAATTATGATTGGCCCATCTCATTTATATTAGAAGAAAGAGAAAAATAAGGGTACATGTAGGAACCCCCGTGTACTCCGTTATTACATGCGACAGAATAAAACGTCTGGGATCTACTCCGTACTGCGCAGTCTTTTATCTTATATTAAAGTGCCTAGAGCTTGGCTGCATAATATAATACATGATCTATCAAGATAATGAAGATGAGGGGAAATGAACTTTATCCTAGTTCTCCGGCTAAGTCCGGCTCCCAAATAAGGAACTAATTCCACTAGCAAATCAGAGACCCCTGTGGTTTTCTCCATGGTGTGATCTCCTATAGATTGGATAATATCGCCACATAAACTATGGGTCGACTATGGGGTCAGCTCTTAGGCGATGCAAAGCTGAAAAAGCTGAAAAAAGTGGCTCCCAAGGTCCGAGCAATCAATAACAAATAAGCAAGACACTAGTGAGCTCTGAGGAGATGCTAGCATCTCCGTGCCACGATCATTGGCCATACTGATCTCGCTCGCCTAGCTTGTCCGAATGTTGTCATTGAGGGGTTGAGAGAGGGGCAATTCTGTTCTATTGCATTCTGGCGTGCCTGGTGGGGAAATAAATAATGCGCTCACCTTCTGTTGGGATAAACCGTGTACCCCTTAAATAATCACTCGATCCCTCCCGAGATCTTCCTTCTGTGATCAATTCATCCTCTCATCCCAAACCCCAAACCCAATCCCTCAAACAAACCCTTCAAAAATGTCTTACCGCAACGAGTCCGACAGCTACGGCAGTGGCAACCAGAGCTCCGGCTACGGCGGCAACGACTCCTCCAGCTACGGCAACGACAACTCTCGCTCCGGTCGTGACGAGGATAGCTATGGATCCAAGAAGGATAGCTATGGCAGCAACAATGACTCCGACAACTATGGCAGCAAGAAGTCCAGCTACGGCGACAACGACTCTTCCAGCAACACCTACGGTAGCAAGAACGAGTCCGACAGCTACGGATCCAAGAAGGATAGCTATGCCAGCAACAATGACTCCGATAACTACGGATCCAAGAAGTCCAGCTACGGTGACAATGATTCCTCCAGCAACACCTACGGAAGCAAGAATGACTCCGATAGCTACGGATCCAAGAAGGATAGCTATGGCAGCAACAATGACTCCGACAACTATGGCAGCAAGAAGTCCAGCTACGGCGACAATGACTCTTCCAGCAACACCTACGGTAGCAAGAACGACTCCGATAGCTACGGATCCAAGAAGTCCAGCTACGGTGACAATGATTCCTCCAGCAACACCTACGGTAGCAAGAACGACTCCGACAGCTACGGATCCAAGAAGGATAGCTATGGCAGCAACAATGACTCCGACAACTATGGCAGCAAGAAGTCCAGCTACGGCGACAACGACTCTTCTAGCAACACTTACGGAAGCAAGAACGAGTCCGACAGCTATGGCAGCAAGAAGTCTAGCTACGGCGACAATGACTCTTCCAGCAACACCTACGGTAGCAAGAACGACTCCGACAGCTACGGATCCAAGAAGGATAGCTACGGTAGCAACAATGACTCCGACAACTATGGCAGCAAGAAGTCCAGCTACGGCGACAACGACTCCTCCAGCAACACCTACGGTAGCAAGAACGACTCTTCCAGCTACGGTGACAACAACTCCTCTAGCTACGGCAACAAGTCTAGCTCTGGTCGTGACCAGGATAGCTACGGCAGCAACAATAACAACTCCTCCAGCTACGGTGACAACAACAACTCTTCCAGCTACGGTGGCAACGATGACTCCAGCGATAGCTTTGGTAGCAAGCTCCTGAACAAGGCTGAGGGTTCGTGATTCCTTTTTTTCTTTCTAGAAGGCTTGGAGGATTATATGCTGACTCATGTATCATTTTAGGATACCTCAACCGCAACCGTGATGATTAAAGTCGTTCTTCACTGTCAGATAAGGGAACCAGTAGAAATGAGCGATTTTGCTGGGATGTGTAATTCAGAAATTAGTACATACTGAGGAACAATATACTACGTTTTATCTATAACGATTTTTGGATCAAGGATATCTTATGTATTGGTGGCATTGGATCATCGTTTGTTATTTCTCTTCGTAGAGGTTTCTCGACTTAGTCTCAATGCTAAGGGAATTTAGTTCTTCTCTTGGGTGTTACATATACATGAAGAGGTTTTTCTTTATCAGATATTGATCGAGTTGTAGGATTCATTCCAGGTCAACTTTCGCGTTTCTAACCAGTCCTCTTGCATTGTGCAGAGATTTCTAGGCCTGCCGTTCCTTGGGAGGATAACAGTATGTGTGTAAATCTGAAAAGCCCTTCTGCCCAGTTTGGCTGATATGATGGTCTTATCGATTGTGTTCATATACCTAAGAGCAGCCCAATCAGGGAATGCAATTTGGTAGATTTATTGTCGGACGTGTCCCTTCGCATTTCGCACTCTTCCATGATGAATCATGGTCTATTTTCCGCCTGGAATGGTCTTTTGTTCTCAACAAACAAGACGTTGGCCTGCTGGGCCGCAAAAGACCCAGAACAATGTCGACAGTGAAAATCTCGCAGCAATAATATCGGCATGTAAGGTTCTTCGGGAATTCGAATATTCTAGAGTTTCCCCTTTAGCTGAATGAAGCGCCTACATAGCCATACGCAACTAGTTAGACTGCAACTGGTTAATTGAATTTTGATTGATTGATTGGTTGATGAACCATAGACGTCCAACTTTACCCATTGCCCACGCCTATCGAGATGATACACGCATGTCCCGTTGCATTCTTCTCAGAATTTTCTCAATTTCCTTGCAATCCTTATTTGATCTAAATTTTCGCTCGGGATAATGCGGGTCATATCCCTCAAGATTCTGTCTCCCATCTCGGAGCACGAAAGACTTGGTCAAATATCCAATAGCCACAATACCCCAGAGGTCTTTCGTCAACTGTGGCTGGATATCTCTTTGTTTGATCATATAGTTCAGCAGTTGGTATTTGGCGCGATTCCATGATGTTTTGTGTGGACCAGTCCGGGCTTTTGAAGGTCTTTTGTTCTCAACAAACAAGACCTTGGCCTGCTGGGGCGCAAACACCCAGAATAATGTCGACATCAGTCGTTGAGCAAGTACCAAAAGCCGAGAGTCATAAGCTTGTCTTGCAGCTTCATGAAGCTAGTCTCGCTAGCCCATTTTTGGAGAAATGGAATGATCTCTCGGGTTTTATCGAAGAGTTGCAAGTCAAGGGCCGCATCTCTGCTACACATGTCTTGACGTTGGCTTGATCGAGAGCATCATCAACAGAACATTCCTCCCTTATGGATTCATGATTGAGTTCGTAATCACCAATGTGTTCTTCGTCGATGACTAGACCACATGAGAGTGTGACAGACATCCCCGATATCCGAGTCGGACGCGGTCGTGACAATTAAGACTCCACTGCCGGTATAGTAGCAGGGATCTTTTTCTTATTGACATCTGAGTCCCAATCCGATTCCCAGCTATAGTCATTACTCACTCCATGATTGTGGTTGACACCCAAATTCCAGAGATTGTATGCGAATGACTTGTCGCTAGATCGATAATGGGCCACGATCAATGTTGCCAGTGCAATGCACTCTACCTGGCCCCATGGAAAGGTGCGTGCCTCTGGAATTCTTTTCGGTGGGAGAGCACACACATCAGGCACAGTAATGCTAGTCATGGCGCTGCATCAAGTATTGCTGGCCACACCCGCATTTATACGTCTGTGGTAACATAAAAAGTTGATGGGCACTCCATGCGGCCTTTGAAATCCAGGATGTTAACCAGCCTTTTCTGTCACAAATGTAAGATGCTGCACATACCAGGATAGCTCAGCCGACTGGACGAAAGAAAAAAAGGCATTTCCATTGCCGATAGGATTTGGTGAGCGAAATTCGAGGTCCGACTCACAACGTGTATGATCTGTAAGAAAGAATGGTAAGGATGGATATAGGCGAAAGACAGTATCTCTACGCGACACGTCAATAGTGCCGCGGGGAAAGAATAAAGCAAAATTATATAAAAGGAAGAACCAATCAAAGAAGGAAGGTACGAGCATTCCGAGGTTAGGCAGGTACGTATCACGTCATATAGCCCTACTTGCCTAGAGGGGTTAGGCGTGGCCTGTATTCTCTACAAATTCAGACTAGCTGGCTAAATACATAGCCAGTGTAAGTCTAGCAAGCCAAGGCGTACTTGCATTTCCCAGTCATTCATTCTCTGATGCAAATGAGACAAGCTACACTTTGCATCCTCGTGGAGACTGTAGACATACCAATCATCTTCTGCTGTTGGTATAGGGCTTGATTTGCTAGCCTGTTATAACGTCAGTGACAGAGAGCAATTTCGACGGATTGAAGATATTGATGTAAGATAAATCTCCTTGATTTCTCTTAGGTTCCTAATGATCGCTTGCTGTAGACGCGTACTTTTAGTGCATATATATATATTTCAACTGTGGCACTAAACCATGAGTAATACAGATGGACGCGTTAAAAGGCTTTCATGCTTCGGGGTTATCCAATTTCACAGAGGTCAGCGGCATTGATGAGTGTATTCCTAATTCACCTTTAAATTAACCTCAATCACTACCAAATTGTCGAGAAGTGTGCCTGCGACAGTACCTGAGATCTGCCCCTCTGCGACTTGTCAGGACCTGCTTCCTGCTAGATAGCTCTTATATCTCTTTGATGGAAAACCTGTCTGAGACACTTTTTGTACTTCTTTCAGTTCTTATAGAACTCGCTCTCGTCCTTCAGCCACGTTCCGAAATCTAGCAGACGTTACTCCTTGACAAGATCATGTATGTACAGTCCTATTCCGGGATATTATGGGGACTCGCATGAGGACTGGTCCGAAAACAGGGGCTCCAGTAGTCAGGAAATCGTGGGACCGAGTACACAAAGGAATCCCAGGAGCATCGAGTATAGAATGATAATTTTGATTGGGTGGCCGACTAGCAAAAGCTCCGATAGATACCCGTAGACAGCCGTGGACATGCCTCTAAGTAATCCATGGATCAAACTGAGCATCCAATCGAAATGAGTGCCCTCAGTGAGGGTTCCAAGGTTCATCAATCTCGTTGATTTATCACGTGAAGGATATTGAGTACCTGAGCAGCTCACTGGGTCTCCAGGGCTGTTACGTGGAGTTACGTGAGCCTAAAGATCATCAAGAAGCCAGACCTCAAGACACCAAAGATGACCTCAATACTGGCTGATATTTTCTCTCGTCCTTGTGCATCCTGCGGACTGGATATCACATCGACCCCTCGTTTTCTAAGTGCGCCATCCCTTATTCTGTAAATTTGCTGTTAGAAGTACTTGCTAATCAGTGCTTAGTTCATTTGACTGCATCCGGCGTTCAGTTGACGGATATTTCCGGGCATATCAAGGGCCATGAGTTTGAAGGAAGATGGGACGAGGTTGCCAGGTTACTAAAGAGCTCCCCCCGGCAAATCCGCCAGATGAATTTTTGATTCATAGGCGTTGTTGGGTGCTTCTCTCGAAACAGTTCAAAAGTGATGAATTGAACCTAGAGAGGTTGCTTGAAACACTAAGAGAAAAACCCTCTCAAGGGCATGAGGATATGAGATCGGACACCGTGGGTGAGTCCATTTTATCATTTAATTGTATATACATAGCAAAAAAGCAACTTTTGCTAATGTTGACGGCTCATCGTAGGCTTTGCATCCAACCCGCCGAGTTTCCATCAATGCTTCAGGCAAGCGGGCTTCCGCGCAGCCACTCAGGCCCTGCCAGCCACACACGAATCATATGTTCTACGTGAAAGTTCCCTTAATACACACTACTTTGAACAAATTCCACCTGAAATAAGATTGGAAATTGCAACTTATCTACCAACTTTGGACTTTCTCAATCTACGACTCTGTTCAAGGGCAATGGCAGATATATTTGAAAGTCAGCCATTCTGGAAAACAAGGTTCTTCATACATGGCGATAGAGGTTACCTTGCCTTTCTTACTGAAGATACCAAGCAAGCAAAGGACTGGCGACTGATTTACCGTTGTACTAACGATATTTCTAAATTGCACCCCCAGCTTCGCATTAGACGGCAGCATTGGCGATATAACCGATGGCTCAGAGATGTCTGTATCATGACTAGACAACAAAATCTTCTATTTCCTGCTCCAGTTGAAAATGCAGAATCTCTACAGTGGCAAAAGGCTGCTGGAAAGATGAGTTGCCACAGGCCAACGCGGGGATTGCTGAATGGAGCTAATCGGAAATTGTGCTCAGGATGTTTCGCCAAGCATGAAATATTCACTCAATCAGTTCCCTTCTCTAGGGATGTTGTTGGGCTCGCCGTATCAGTTCTCCCGGACCCACGCTCAGACCCAGACTCACAACACACCTTTGTCGCCGGCTTAGAGCTTATCTATCCTGGCAATATGCCAAATGCTGTTCTTGGCTATCGCCTCCCAGGAAATCAAATCATGATTGATCTTCAAGCAAGGCCACTTAAGGGATTTGAGGTGATGATTGGAGAAGGAGGCATTCACGCAATCCTTCCGCTTTTTCATGCGATGAAAGATTGGATTGGTAAGCCCGTCGATGGATTTCATGAAGCTCGCGGGCCCGTACGACTTTCAACGGACAATGAGATACTAGCCATTTCGGCAGATTTTGATGTAAGTCGTGCTAATCGCCAGCCCGCTCAGCTTCTTGTGAATACCATTCTAATAGTACTGCCTACAGTATTGCAAACTAATAGGTCTGGCAATAGGAAATAGGAAACTACATTCCTAGCTGGCTTCGAATTCTAGCAATGAAGGGCTCTGGCTTTAATGGAAATTGGTTGACGTAGTGATCGAACTAGCTATGTGGTGGAATTTGAGTCTGATAGGTCAAGATCTGGATGTTTTTTTTTACTTCATTAGGATAAAGATATTCTTGCTTTCCCATTGTCACGTTTACACTATACAAATGGCCGGTTGCTTAAGCGGCTTATGTTTCTCTCTTTGACGGCATAGTTCGGTTATACTATCCCATATAAAAGGAGGGTATATTCAATATCGTTTTTGAAGGTCTTCCCAGATGTCTTTCTAGCTATGTTCTCGGATGTCCTCCTAGATGGCCATGCAAAACGGCCTTTCCATATATAGATATGACATGGACCTTTGGACTTCTTTACATTCATAGTTGTACAAATTTCGACACCATGCTCGTCATATACGTTTTAGGCATCGGTATAAACGCGGGGACAGGCGTATTAAAACCACGAAAATGTTCTAGTGTGGCTCGAATTTCCTTGTAAATAATGTGATCGGTCTAATGTTGATGCTTATCAGCTTGAGCCAAAGGTATGTAGATGCCATAGGGGAGGTCATATGTAGAGAATAAAGCGTATAAATTACGAGACACAATGATAGCATTAAGTTCAATGGATGAGCGAGAATCGGAAATTGGACGTTGGTGGACGTAGAAGGAAGGGATTGATGGGGATCTGGGATCTGGGGGGTTATCACCGCCCGGACTCCGCTAAGTTTGTATTGACAACATACATTCTCCATCACCTCCCCTCCTCCCCTCTTCAATGCTCCAGTAAGAGCTATTCGTTACAATGCGGCTCCAGGCGGCGCTCTTTTTCGCCGCGTGCCTATCGCCCGCGGCGGCCATCTACTCTGATGAGGTCAACCACATCGACTTCCACCACGCTCTCCTCGGCACCCCATCCCCCGACTCGACCTTCTTCCTCAAGCCATCCCCATCCTCAAATGCCTCCCTTCTCTATACTTTATCCGACAAGCTGCTCGTAGGTGCTGTGAACCCCCGCGACGGCGCGCTGGTATGGCGCCAGAACATCTCGCGGTCGGCCGACTCTCCCGCGCATGCGGCGGGTCTCTTGCGTGGATTGGATGGAAACGATGCCGTTGTAGCTGCGGTGGGTAACTACATCTCCTCTTGGAGTGCCCAGGATGGCAAGGTGGGATGGGAAAATCGAGTCTCCGAAGGTGTGGTTACCGACCTCGAGTTGTTGGAGCTTGAGGATGCTACCGCGACCTCCGGGGTGAGAGATGCTATTGCTGTGGTTACTAGTGAGGGCACCGGGATCGTGAGACGGCTGGATGGCAATACTGGAAAGACCGTGTGGGAATACAAGGATGGAAGGTTGGTTTTGTCTTTGGCTGCTTTTTACAAGTCCCAAGCTAATTCATTGTTCTTCTAGTGGTGACGTTCCGTTCCAAGTGTCATCTTCTTCCACGGAGGTCTTCTACATTTCACTCCAGTCGGCTATATTGAAGGGTTTCAAGATCAAGGTCACTGTTTTGGATCCATTGACTGGGCGACAGACTCGTCAACAGATTCTCAACTCTGAGGCTGATGTGGTTACCCCGGAGTCCGTCCTCTATGTGGGTGCTAATTCTGCCTCGCCTATCATCGTCTGGGCCGACAAATCGCAAAAGTCCCTGAAGGTCAATGTTATTGGTACCAAGGAGATCACCTCTATCGCCATCGACAATACCTCCGGCTCCGAAATTCGACAGATCACAGTCCACGCTCCCCACAAACTTAACGCTCTCCCCCATTTCTTGGTCCACTTTGCAACTGAGGCCGGAGCCTGGTCTGAGGTCTATCATGTGGATTTGATGTCTGCTAAGGTCACTAAGGCTTACTCACTGCCCTATCTTCCTGGCCAATCGCTGGTCGCGGCCAGTGTCATTGATGCTAATGTCTATTTCACTCGAGTCACGGACTCGGAAACCGTGGTCGTATCATCCGCCTCTCATGGAATTCTGGGACGATGGGATCTGCAGAAGCCTTCTTCTGAAAGTGTCCTTCACTCAGTATCCGAGGTCGTTGCTAAAGGGAAATCTGTGGCTGTTAGGTCAGCACTTTTCCGGAAGCACGGAGATTGGCAACTTATCCGAAATGGCCACACTGAGTGGACTCGGCACGAGGGTCTCATTGATGCTGTCGCAGCCACCTGGGCGGAAACTGATGCCCAAGAGGATCTAGCTCATGAGCTGGAGGTCGAGGGTCACGAGACTTTGTACGGCGCGTACCTACACCGGGTGAAGCGTCATATCCGGGACTTGGAACATCTACCTGAATGGCTGAAGCATCTTCCTCAGCGCATTCTGAGCAGTATTTTGAGCGATGAAGTGTCCAACCTCGACAGCTTTGGAGTTGCCAAATCAGTTATTGTCGCCACCAAGAACGGCCGTGTGTACGCCTTGGATACTGGCAACCATGGCGCTGTTTTGTGGGGTGTCCAGGCAGTGGAGACATCGCAGTGGAATGTGAAGGCTATTTTGGCTTCGCCAGGAGTCGCGACCATCTACTCCGACGATGGAAGCTCTGTGACTGTGGATGTATCAACTGGAGAGATCGTTTCCCGCATCGAGCCATCCAATAGTAAACTCCACTCGATTGCTGTCTTTGGGTCGCAGGATGGAAGTTCGCTGGCCACCGTAGGTGTCCGTGAAGACGGTACTCCAGTCACTGCATCTGTTAATGAAGATGGGTTCTTGGTAACCACCAGCATTGATGGCCGAGTCCTCGGCTGGTTCGCAAAGGATAACAAAACTCCTGTGTGGGAGTTTGTTCCTCCGTCCGGACAGAAGGTCGTCAAAGCGACCGCTCGCCCTGCGCATGATCCTGTTGCATCTATCGGCAGGGTTCTTGGAAACCGCTCGGTTCTTTACAAGTACCTCAACCCCAATCTCGCCCTGGTGACTGCAGTGAACGAGCAGACCCACACCGCCAGTTTCTACTTGTTAGACGGAGTCTCAGGCAAGGTCCTTCACGCAACTACCCAAGAAGGCGTGGACTCCACGCAGCCCATCGCATCCGTGATGTCCGAGAACTGGTTCGCCTACTCATTCTGGGGCGATGTTGATGGCAACGAGTCCTCCGCCAAGGGCTACCAACTGGTCATCTCGGAGCTCTACGAATCCCCATTCCCCAACGACCGTGGTCTCCTTGACCCTGCCACCAACTACTCCAGCACTGCGATCCTCCCGTTGCCTCACGTCATCTCCCAGGCCTTCATGATCCCCGAATCCATCTCCCACATGGCTGTAACTCAAACACGCCAGGGCATCACCACCCGCCAGCTTCTCTGCACTCTCCCCTCTTCCAACTCCATCGTCGGCATCCCTCGCCCTGTCCTCGACCCCCGCCGCCCTGTTGGCCGTGATCCCACCCCGGCCGAGGCTGAAGAAGGCCTGTACCGCTACGCGCCCTTCCTCGACTTTGATGGCAAGTGGTACCTCTCGCATACGCGCGATGTAGCTGGCATCAAGGCCGTGCTCTCTCGCCCTACCCTATTGGAAAGTACTAGTCTTATCTTCGCTTATGGAAGCGATATTTACGGAACTCGAGCCACGCCCAGCCAGGCATTCGATATTCTTGGCAAGAACTTCTCCAAGCTGCAGCTCGTCCTTACTGTGGTGGCACTCGGAGTGGGTGTCACAGTTTTGGCTCCGATGGTAAGTTTTTTTCTGCCTAATTTCTCCAGGGACATTTGCTAACATCTTATCTAGACTCGGGCGAAGCAAGTTAATGCCCTGTGGAGGGCTTAGGCCTTTTAGGCTCGTATACCATATGTCATATTGTGCTTTAGACTGTAATACATACGTCGCTTGTCAAATTCTTCACATGTAGCATCTTAAGTACTCGCATATTACTGCGAAGATTAGTCACTACACTGTACTCAAACCAACCTGACCTACTTAAAAGAAACTGTGGTCAGATATATAGAAAGTTATTGGTCATAGTAACATTTCAATCATTCATAAACATGTTATCCAAAGGATTCAACGTCATATTAAATAGTATAACAAAAGAAAACAAGAACACTCAATGTCACCAATCCTCCAAAACTGTGCAGACAATATGAACTAATTTTCCACACCAAGAAGGCGAATCAACAACAAGCCAACCTCACTCAATACAGCGGCATGGGCGTCGAATTGACATAATCGATATTATGCTCAACAGACTCAATGCGATCAGCACAGGTCCCAAAAACCCTATCCCAAAGCCTCGTCTGCTTTCCATAATTATGACTCTTTTTCCACCCCTTCCGATGATGCAAATCATGATCCTCAATAACAAGCTCCGCATCAAACCACCGCAAAGCCCAACTCAACGTCGACGGCGGCGTAGCATGCAACCGCAACCCACTATGACCCGCCAACTCCGCAAACACAACATACTGGTGACAAACCCACCACTCATAGAACCCCATCGGCATCCCCATAGCCCGCATACTGAAATAAGTCATAAGCGGGATCCCGAGGATATCAAAGAATTCCTGCTCAGAGTCCGCATACAGCGTCAACAAAGGGTTCGGATGCTTAGTGAGGTGGTGGGTACGGTGGTATTTCCACAACGCGCCGACATCGTGCATCAGTCGGTGGTACCAGTAGAACCAGAAGTCGAGGATGATCCCGTACAACCCGGCTTCGAGGGGCAGCCAGACGAAGCTCATAGTGGAGGGTGGGTGTGTTGCGTGGTATGCGATGAAGACAGTGAACATCGGCCGGAAGGTCGATGTCGACATGAGCGAGCCGACGACCTTAGCGACGCCGACATCTGGGACGCCGTCGCGGGTGTGCTTGTCGCCGTCTAGGAAGCCGTGCTGGTGACCTAGTCGGCGGAGGACGTGGAGTTCGTGGATAGCGATGGCCTTGAAGGCCATTCCGTATAGGAAGAAGGCGGCCCATGCGCTGAGGTTGTGGCCGGTGAATGAGACGTAGGCGTGGTGGATTAGGAGGGGGATGGCGGCGTGCGTGAGCACCCAGCGGTGCATGGACCAGTCTGGAACGTAAGGCACGGAGTCCTCCTTTAGATGGATGGGGATGTTCTTGTCGAGGTGTTCTGGGTGGATGCCGAGTAGTTCATAGAACCAGTGGAAGAGAGTCCATTCTGAGCGGGCTTGCTGCCGCCAGGTGGACTTCATGGAGTCCTTTGGATTACCACTCATTATGGATGATTCGTAGACAGAATAAGAGATGCCAGGGCACACTTCAACCCACACCAGGTACGGGGCGAGTTGGTGGGGTTTAAGTGCTTGGGGTCATTGTCGATCCCTCCCCAGTCGTTCGGCGATTGGCGACGCTCGGCGCATGTGAAGATAGCCCATTTCCTTCACATTCCCCGCAAAAATGAGCCTCGGACATTTGGCTACATTGGAACATGATGTCGATCGCATCTCATCTTGGACACTTTCCCAACAACATGGCCATCTTAGCGTGTTCGCTGCCGCTTGGGCTCAACATGGTTGCCTCACATGTTTTGGACTCATTCGGGGGATGATATCATAATACGAGGGCATTCATAAGGATTTCACTATTGTTTCTTTGGTTTATCAGGGCCTGATTCTGCCATGTAGTAGTAAATGTTCAATGTAGTTGGCCATATAGATCCGACGTTGTCCCTGGGTCATGTGCTCAACTAAGCCCTTATTCCTGATTTGGTCAACTTATATCTGAGTGAGGTTACGGGATATCTCATGGATTTCTGTTCCATTTTATATCGAAAATAATTTCTATGATAATTGAGCTTCTCCTCGTATTCTGCATTGTGCAAAACGATTTCCGGCGCTCTAGCTATAACATTGAAACGGGGAAAGATACCTAAAAATATATATAAAATGACACGTCGTATAAGGCTTAGGTTTCAATTGAAACACAGTTGCAAGCTAATAGAAATATCATTTAAACATGTTTAAATTTCAATGTAAGGCTTTAACAAAGGTAGAATAACTCTGATGACAACAGCGGACAAAGAGAGGCGATAGGCGTCAACTTGAGGGTTTCATGCTTAAAGCTGATTCCCTTAAATTTCTGCGTCATATCATTCAAATAATAGGTGGTAATTACTGCTAGAGAGGGAACCCCATTCCCTTTATCATAATCTGTTGGCCATTTCAGGTTATATCTAGTCCTCCAAATCTAGCTTCTTATGTCACCGGAATGGGTTTGCGACAGTCTATTCATATGCTGCAGGGCTGAACACAACAAGCTTTTCTGACAGCGGGAACAATAAAAACTGCGTGGCATGCCGCTAAGTATGTCCACACTTGTCTCCGATAATAATGGAGGATACTGTTTGATAGAAAGAGGTGGGTCTCTACAGTTTGGTGATTGGCTTCGGGTTGGGCATCATACCGTTAGTCCTCTATGATGGAACTTAGTGGAAGGATCACCCTTACTTAAGAAGGGGCATAGCGTGAAAATAGCTAAGGGCCGCTAAGATCCAAGGGGGCCTCGCTAGCATATCTCATAGAGGTGAGTGTATCAAGGGTAGGCCTTGGCGAGCACAGCACTATAGTACCTCGTAGTAGTATTGCTAAGGTACCACGAACATATAACTTACCAAGAAATTTCCAGTTTGAATCGACCCCCAGAGCCCGATCTCAAGAAGAAGGATACCTAGTCCGTAGATATCCAGAGCAGAAGTCCACCGTAGTAGGGGTAGCGTTCCTGCTGCTTCTACAACCTCATCACTTGGATCATCGCCCCTCATTCTTGTTACTGACACCGGAAAGCTTTGCTGACTGAATGAAAATTGGTGATTGGGACGATACAGATCGTATTCCGGGTTATCAGTGTCTCACGATAGGTCTTGATGTAGTCTTCTGGACGGCCTGTCGTAAGTGAAGCCTGTCAGGTAGGGGGTACCAGCCATGGGATCGCCACAAAACAGTACATTGTGGCTGCGCAATCCCTTGTGGAGCAAGCCTACCGACACCAGCTTTCCGAGTACACTTGCAAGTCTGTATGCAAGACCAAAGCGGCTCCCAAGTGTAGGCAGATCTCTCTCTTTGTCTCGTGTTTGACGAATTCATTAATTGACGGAGATAATACTAGCCGGTAACTTATGGTCATAGCCAGTCATTGAGGATGAATCTGCATGGGAAGCCGGAGGAACAGTCCGATCCGGTCAAATGATGCTGTAGCTGTCCATCCGGAACATATTAAAATCACATAGTCACCCGCTGTGTTCTTATCAGGATGGCCTTGACCATCCCCGGCCTTGACCATTGTCTGGAGGACCTTGACCAAGTAGTCTAAACAGTATTCGAGTTGTGGCTTGTTTGCCTCGCTTTGAAACAAGTCTCTCCCATCCGCCAGACCGTATCCACCAGCTAGTGCTGAATCATCTTCTGTCCGTGAGGACCGGACCAAATTTCGTTCCTGTTGACATGCTTCGGACAAGCTGATGGGCTGTGAGAATGAGGACTTCGAAAGCAATAGGTACCATTGCAATTCTGCCCCGTTCAACCCGCTCTGTGGACCATCCAGTCGTGCATTTCCTCCTCTGCACAAAGAAGATCAGGTTTCAGCCGGTCAGTTCTCAAGACAAGGTATTAAAGCCACTTCACCGATAAGGAACTGTGAAATCGCAAGGACATGGCCTTCATAGCAGCAGCATGTGAAATGGCGGGTTGCAAATCGACAGTTCCTTGCTGAACGGCTTGTGACACGGCGCAGTCGTGGCTCTGAATGTGACTGTCTCGGCCTTAGCGTACGGAAGCATCTCCTCCAATTCGGCATTCCATATCTTTAGCCAGTTGATGAGGCTAGCAAGCTTCTCTTTATCACCTGCAGCCCACGCCACGAGTTGCATTGGGGTTTAGTCTATTTGACTGTAGATCAAATTAAGCAAGCAATAGTCCTTCCCAGATGGCTGAGTGGGTGAGAGACACTGAAGTCATCTGATTGCTGAATGGAACAATGAGCCCGGGTGATACCGCATTGGGAAGTTCATTTAATGGTGAAACTGGTGAGGGTTTCGATCCTGCGCTGGGAGTAATTGGAGGGATTGTCTTTGTTTTTGATATATCACCACGCATCCACCATTAGAGTCTCTTCTTCTCTTCCCTTGACTTGTCTCAGTGTAGTGGTGGAATGGCTGGATCTGGCAGGAAATTCTGATATCACGGGTTAATCAGGTTGATTCCTCTTATATTGTGCCTGTGTTGGGAAGACAGTACACACATGGTGCTCTTACGGACTTGACACTGGGTCAACTCGCCTGATCACATGTCAAACATGGATCAAGCAAGTATCATAGCAATTTAAAGAGTTCATTCCACATATAGAGAACAAGCCAAAGCAACCCAAAGAGACAGTATATTAATATTGGAAGATCAGGCCACTACATCATGCAATAACAATAGACGCGTGTGTAGACACATATAATTTCCCAGTAATACAAAGATACAGATATTCAACAAAACATAAGGAAAAAAAAACATACCTCGGTATTGAGATCAGCGCTATCTTGTCCTATGTCACATCGCTAATGGTATGTCCAAACACAAAGCCCAACACGATTATTCCTGCTGCCATTCTATGTGCTCTATGCGGCAACAGTATTCTGAGTCTCATGCACGGATAATTGGTTCACCTTAGCCGCCACGTCGTCAACAGCCTTCTCGTTATCGTCTACTTTAGTCTCTGCATCACTAGACCCAGCATTCTCCGCTGGCACGGAGTTAGCCGAAGCCTGTGCCTTCGGGACGGGAATGATTTCTCTGCGGTCCTTTCCATCCACAGTTCCCAGCACCTGGAGGTGATCACCCTCGAACAACACAGGACCCTTGAGGATATCTTTGCGAGTTTTGCCATCGACGAGCGGCTGCTCGATGCCGCGGAGAAGTTCACGGCTGGGCTCGTCCAAGTTCGGCATATCGCCCCACGACCACTCCAGCTCACCGCCGTATGCCTTGGGGATGACGGACGGTTCCATGAAGGAAGTGAGAGTGGGTCCCACCTCTGCGGCGGAGAGAATGAAGATCTTCGAGGTGGTGCCTGGGTCGAACCAACGCTTGATCCAACCCCAGACTGTTGGGAAGAATGAGGGTGCTCCGATAATCTAACAGTGAGTTAATTTCCAGATCTTATCTTCAATCTTCAAAGGAGGGATAGCTTACAAAGATTCGATCCAATGTCTCGGGGTAATGCGCCGTGGCCAAAACACTAGCATCCTGCATATGACTCTTCAAGTTCCAGAACTGCTTCAGCCCGACACCGCTGACATCCACGATATTGGTCGACGTCACGATAGGCGTCTCTGGGTTCGGACGTGGCAGCGCGGAAGAGAGCGGCATCACGAACCGGAGGAGATTCTCATACAAAGCGAAGAGGTTCAACAAGCGCGCAGGGACTGTGGATGATTTGTGAGTTTCGGGTGTACCAGTAGTCATGGTGGAGTTGTAAGCGGCAATTGCCTTGTTATCCAGGTGGCGGATCTGGAAGACATAGACAGGGATTCCGCGACGATCGCGACGGCCTGTCCATTGGGGATACTGTAGGACAGTAGACGTTAGCATGGGATTTGTGCTCTCGTTCGCAAAGTATTATGAAACGTACCATTCGTCGAGCGGCCTCGTATGAGTCCACGCTAATATTCTCGTATAGCTTCTCGATGGCGTTATCTTTGCGCCAGTCTTCGGTGTCCTTAAATTGAGCCCACGCGCCCTCGACATCGAACTTGCGAGCTCGGAGGAATCGCCTGCGCAAATATTCAAAATCAGCACTCGGTCATTCTGTTTGATTTGTCCATCTATAGCTGGGTTGGGGTAAAACGCGGGGACGCCACATACAATAAAGTCGCATCGTCGTGGCTGGCAGGCTTCGCGTCGACGCCATCTGACTGTTCCACAGCAGGCGTGTAGTATTTGCGCTCAGCGCATACTGCCTTGAACTCCTGCAGCTTTTTCTCCTGCTCCGGTGTAAGGTGGTGCAAGTGCCCGACGAGCCATGCTGTACCAGAAGCTTGGGAGGCGGAAGCGGCGGGATCGTTCTTGGCTGAATCAGTGCGCGCCAGGTCTTGTTCGGGTTCCTGTGGAGTTTTGTTGCCCCAAAACATGGTGAACGCTTATTTTCTTAGTTTGTTTACTTTTTTGAAAGAGCGATCGACCATCTAAAATAGATCTCGGAGGTGGCGGAGGGAAAGAGGCGGTGAAATAGATCTGGGTTTGGTCCCGAGGCCGGGTGCTTTGACTCTCATTTGTGATACATCTCATTTCTGTTATCACCTATTTTGAGGTGAGATTTAGGTCTCTTTTGAGAATATTGAACGTCGTTGAGTTAGAATATTCCTCATCTGCCAAAAACACTTCCGCTGAAGTAGATTTATCAGCCAGCAAAGCTAATTGGCAGCATTAACCAAGGTAACCAGCCCTAGTAACGGACCTCCAGATAAAATCAGACTTGCTGTTGTTTTGGGAGGGCATGAAAACAGAAAAATACAATATAATTCCGGCCTAAATTAAACCAAGCACCCCGTATTTCAGTGTACATGGCACAGCCAGATGCTAGTCATAAGGCCAACCCCAACCATATCTGTACAAATCGCCCTCATACAGCTCCAAATTCCAAAAAAAGATACAATAAATTAGTCCTCGGTCAAATCACCATACTCCCACATACCACGGCGCTCAGCCTTGGCCTCCTCCTCGAGGGTGCGTAAGTTGGCGAGGGTCTCAACGGAGGCGCGCTCCCATGCCTTCAACTTGCGGGGCACCATGGCCAAACCCTCGTGAATGATATCGGCGTTGATACTGTTGTCCAGGTTCTTGGAAGCAGTAGGGTCGAGGAGGGTGACGTACAGGGTACCATCCTGGTCAACGTGGTCAACGTTTGCGACAAGCTGGCGGTCGAAGGTCTGGTCGCCGACGAAGCCGACGGCGTCCTCAAGGTAATCCTCGGAGGTGGGGAACTGCAGGAGGGAGAGGACTGCATCGACGGCTTGGGGGCGAAGGGTCTGGCTGGAGAACTGGGGTTGGGTGAGAGGGCGGAGTGATGCCCATGGCAAAATCTCGGAGTTACCGAAGTCGAGGTAGACCACCTCAGCCTGCTCCTTCTCGCGGTCGTTGCGGCGCACCTTGGCGCGGTACCAGTCGCCGTCTTCGGTGAACTGGGCAGCAACCCATTCACCAGCTTTGGGAGGGCCTGGCAGCGGGGTGTCGTTGGCCTTGTTAAGGTGGAATGTGCGGAAAGCGCGCATCAGCTCGGTGAGTGCGTTGGTGCCGGTGCCGATCTGTTGCAGCTTAAGCTTGGCGGAGGTAGGGTCGATGTATGTAACCATAACGTCGCGGTAGTCTTTGCGACGCTGTGCGGGGGCGGCATCGCTCTCGGTCCCAGTGCCGTTGGTAGCGGCCTCGGCTTCCTCGGCCTCAGCTGCCGCCTTGACGGGGTCCCAGTCATGCCACATACCCTTACGGGCATCCTTAGCCCGCTGTTCAGCAGCGAAATACTCGGCGGCGTGACCAGACTGCTCAGCCGAGTATGCGTGGACGGTGGCGAAACCCTCCTCCAGCAGAACGGTTGTGAAGTTCTCCTTGTTGATGTACAAGCTACCGATGAATCCACCAACCTTATCAATGGTCTCAACATCAATCTCAACGTCGCGCTGCATGCAGCGGCGGTTGGCAAGGTCGTGGGCCTCCTGGCCGAAAGGCTCGCCGGCGTCGCCGGGTCCGCGGGAAGAGCGAGGAGCACGGATGCCAGAAAGGACGAGAGTCAATTTAGCATTGTCACGAGGAACGAGAACAGTGAAACGAGAACCAGACTTGACAAAGTCGACAACAGCGGGAACACGCTTTTGACGCTGCAAGATACCAAGCTCGAGCTTGGCCTTTTGCACGCTCTCTGAGTAGTCCACCACCTGCTTCGTCTTGGGAGGCTTGGAAGACCACATTCCACGGCCTTCCTTCTGGGCATCAGCCTCAGCAACGAGCAGCGCATCGTAGTCGGGAGACCGGTCAGTGTCATCCATACGGTGGCGAATCACAGAGGAGTAACCAGCCTCCACAAGGGCCAGACCAATATTGGTGTTGCCCTGCACAACAGTAGCGACCTCGCGCTCCTCGTAGCCTTCGTTTGCGGGCTTCTTGCCGTTCACAGTGACCATGACATGCTTGGCGATCACCCGCTTGCGCAGGAACTCCTTCGCCTCAGCACCAAAGGGAGCCTGGCTGGGATCGGAGGGCTTCGGCTGACGAATACTGGCGAGACTGATCTTCTTCTCCTGGCCAGCCTTATTGCGGATGAAGAGGGTATCTGCATTCAAAACACGAGTGACAACATAGTCCACAGCCGCGGCACCAGCAGCCGTGGATCCTGTGTGGCTAACCCACAATCCCTTGCGGTCAGCCTTCGCTGTGAGTTCCGCTTGGCGGAGAAGAGCCATGTCCGGACCCAAAAGTGTAGAGTGGTGATCCTGGCAGCGGGCCAGACCAGCCTCAAGAAGGAAGCGAGAGATGTTTCCATTGGGGTGGAGGAGGGTGGCAACAATCTGTCCCTGCGGCGTAACACCAAGCAGAGAAACCTTGACCTTGCGCTGCAACAATCGTTCCTCAACAAACTGGTGTGCCTCATCGCCGAACGGCTCAGCCGCGGTCTCTTTGCCATCAGCGGTTGTGCGCTTAGCAGATGGTGCCCGAATACCAGCAATAGCAATGACAGTCTGAATGTGTTCCTGGGGCTTGAGCAGCAAACGCAGCACAACACGGTCACCGTTCAGGACCTTCTCGATAATACCCTCCAACTGTTGTCCCAAGTTACGCTTAACCAAATCCCGAGCGCCAGTCAACTCGTAGGTAGTATCGATATGGGCATCGTCGCCACCAGCCCAAGTTCCCTTTCCTTCTTCCTGGGCGAGGGATTCCAATGCCCGTAGGCGTTCTAGGAGTGCAATGGTCTCCTCAGATTCATCTGAGCGTTTGCCTGCTTCTTCGCGAACCCTTGTCCAGCCCTCCTGCACACTGATATCGGGCAATGAGGCATCGAAGCCGGGCAGCTTGATGGTACCGTAGTCGCGCTTGGCACCGGTGGGAATTGTGTAGACAACGTGGAACTGGACGACTTTGCCGACAAGGAGCTCACGGAGGAATTCACGGGATTGGAAGGCGTATGGCTGTGATTGATTCTTTATATTAGCCTCATTTCGCTTTTCTCACTTCTCCTTTCGCTATGGATATTTCACACAATGCTGTGCATAGCTTATATGAATAAAAAAGATCACACAGTGGAGATCACACAGTGGAGATCACAACAAGCAACGATCTGGCCTTTCAATAGTGCAATCAACGGGCAATTAATCTCAATGATGCACCTACCTCATCACCCTCTCTCCTTAATCTCGGAGCAGAGACATAAGCCAAGCTCAGGATACGTTCTTGTGAAGGGTTGGTGACATGCGACAGCACGACCGTGTCACCAGACAGGACGGCCTTAACCCGGGCTTCAAAAGGCATAGTGAATGAAACAGTCTCCACTACCACACAATTGTGATGAGATTGAAGACAGGACCAGAAGAAAAGAAGGTAAAAGGGAGAGAATAGGAAGTGAGAGCAAGGGGAATGTCCTGAGGGGAAACGTGGCCGGTGTTTAGACTTGTGGGGGAAAGCGGTCAGCCAATCCGAGCTCTACGGAAAGTTCTACGAAGCATCGAAGATCGAAGCTAGTCAATCATCGATAGCTACCCAAAATATACACATGTCAAATTGGCATTCATTCATGTTTCCTAGACGGAGTATCTTGCATTTCTCATCCACCAATTACGGGGATATCCAAATCCAGGTTTCAAAAGGGGATAGAGCTGCACATTTATGCGGCAATACCAATGACACCTAAAACATCTTATTAGCATTCATCTCCACTACAGCACGCCTTCATGAACTTACCGCAAGCAGGGCGGGGACCTGCGTTACCGGTCTTCTTGGACTCCTCGTTACCACCCTTGCCAAGGTCATCAGTACCGGCGTGGACGACAAGAGTGCGCTAAGCAGAATAGGTTAGCAATATGTTAGGGCAATGCCAGGCATCAATTATAAACTCACGCCCAGAACGGACTCGGCGCCAATCAGCTTGACGAGGTTGTCCTCCTTGGAGCCGCGGGCGTTACCCTCAGCATCGGTCTGGAAGTTGCCAAGGTCACCAACGTGACGGTCGGTGTCGGTGGGGGCACCGTGGTTCTTGCCGAAGGGGTTGACTAGAAGCGATCAATATTCGATCCTTCCTCTTTATCTTTGGCTGATCACGAATGACGTACAGTGAGGGCCAGCGGAGGTGCAGCCGTTGGTGTTGTCACCGAACTGGTGAACGTGGAAAGCACGCTCAGCGTTGGCGTCGTGGCCAGTGATGTTCCAAGTGATGGTGGTGGGGGCACTCTCGTTAGCCTGCTCGAAGGTAACGGTGCCGGCGACCTTAGCGTCACCACGGAGGACAGCAACTGCAAGAAAAGAAAAATGGTCAATGAATTGTTCTAGAAGGCTTATGGAAGGCTGCCCGTCATTCTGGCTACTGGATCTTCAGGTCCTTGGGGTCTGGGTCTCAGCCTCAGCAACGGGTGGTGCCGCACTGGCCCAGGATCAGAATTGCGCCCTTCTAGCAAATGAGCAGCGATGATCTCCCAGATCTGTCCCCGGGGCATGGGCAGACATCCAGACAGCAGTGGAGAGCTTGAGCGAGGATGCAAGCCGATAGGCCCGGAGTTGGGCTCAGGGTCACAAGGTGCTCAAATCTGCTCACACCCAAGGTCCCCTTCCCACAGCTCGTGGGGAACTTGGACCTGAAGATCTTAATGGCCCAGAGAGAACCAATGGGAATTACTTACCAGCCTTAACCATTTTGATTATTTAAGATGTTTTAGATTGAAGATTTGAAGATTGAAGAAGATGGGTATTGTGAAAGAAGAGGAGAGGAAGTGGGCGGGCGAAGATAATAAGGCGGATGATGTTGACGTGACTCTACAACTTTGTATCAACAAGGTACCTGGTACATGTATTGTAGTATAAAAAAGGCCATGTCCACCAGTACTTGGTACTTAATACCACACCAAAACATCCCCCACCTTCCCAAGTGGGCGGCGAGTCGGAATTCGGGGGAATGACATAATTATTAATTACAAAGTACATCCATCGTAACTTGAACCCTTCAATTTTCAAGTATGTTTGTATTTGCTGCTATGTACTACAATATGTATGTCGATGTCTATACTACCTCTCTTCATTGTTTTGTCTTCCCCCTAGTGCCTAGAGCAGTGTGTGATGTATATTGTTGCACATATGTTTCACATCCAAAGCTCTATCCTAATAGCAATTGACATAACCTCGGGTAATATCAAATGTATCAATAGTAATAAAATGATACCATAGCTACAATTAGAAGGGCATAGATTAGTCCGATGCGGGGGGTTCTGAATAAGCGGACCTGGCTAGATTCCCCAAGCCCATATCCGTGAAGCTTACCCCTCACCTGTGCAAAAGGTCCTACACTGTTAGTAATCTGAATTTTGCCAGTTCTCTATTCACCAATCAACTACCCAGGATGGTGGGCGGTATATTAAGTTGTGCAGGCGGTATAGCTACTGATAAAGGCGGTAGCAGAAGGGGTGCTAAAACTGAAGTGTCACTCTAATTTATGTTGCAGTATTGTTGTTCTACCGACGTTGGAGAATAATAATAGCACTGAAGCACTTGAGACAAATTCATCAATTCGTATCTACCGATTCCAATTTTGGGGAGATCGCCAATTTACAAAAAATTAAACAATTAAAAGAATGTCAGAACATCTAAGCCTGGATCTTCTTGGCAAGGAGCTCCTTGAGGGTAACGGCATCAGCAGCGAACTTGGAGATACCCTCACGCAGCTTCTCGACACCCATAGCCTCCTCGTTGAAGTCGAAGCGGAAAGCAGCCTCGTTGTTGAGGTACTCGCGCTTCTTGATATCGAGGGTGGTGGCATTGGCAGCATTGAGCTTCTGGGGAACGGCCTCGGTGGAGTTGTAGAGGTCCTCGAGGAGGTTGGGGGAGATGGTCAGGTAGTCGCAACCAGCGAGCTCAGTGATCTCGCCAACGTTGCGGAAAGAGGCACCCATGACAATGGTGTTGTAGCCGAACTTCTTGTAGTAGTTGTAGATGTCCTGGACGGACTTGACACCGGGGTCCTCCTGGGGGGTGTAGTCGCGCTTGTGGGCAGCCTTGTACCAGTCAAGAATGCGACCGACGAAGGGAGAGATGAGGTAGGCACCGGCCTCGGCGGCGGCAATGGCCTGAACCAGAGAGAACATGAGGGTCAGGTTGCAGTTAATGCCGTGCTGGGACTGGAGGATGTGAGCGGCCTTGATGCCCTCGTAGGTGGAGGCAATCTTGATCAGGACACGGTCCTTGGAGATACCGTTGTCGGCGTAGAGCTGAGTCGCAAGGGTTAGCTTGAAATTGTCCAGAAGTTATCCCAAAGTGGACTTGTGAATATACCTTGATGATCTCAAGAGCCTTGTCGACGGAAGCCTGGGTATCGAAGGACAGCTTGGCGTCAACCTCGGTGGAGACCTTGCCGGGAATGATGTTAAGAATCTCCTTGCCGAACTGAACGAGGAGACGGTCGAGAGTGGCCTCAACCTGCTCATCGAGGGTCTTTCCGTTCTGCTTGCCGTAGGCGACGGCAGTGTCGATGAGAGCGGCATACTCGGGCTTCTTAGAAGCAGCCAGAATCAAAGAAGGGTTGGTGGTGGCATCCTGGGGCTTGTACTTGCCAATAGCTGTGGTTTACGTTAGCTAGCCGTCCAATGCTGGAACCGATATTTCAAGTAATCTGGAATACATACTGGCGAAGTCACCTAGAAATTCAGTGTTAGCGTGTTTTTCGATGCAGCCGAGGCAGGAATAGCTTACCAGAGTCGCAAACGACGACGGTGCCGGAGGCCTTGAGCTGTTCGAGAGAAGAAGACATTTTTATGAATTGAAAGTGAGATAGAGAAAGTATGAAGAAGAGAGAAGAAGGGTGGCGGGCGGCACGGTATTTAGGAGGAGGGGTGGTGTCATGGACCAGAACCAGATCAATTGTCGGGTACTTAGGTTTAGTATGTAATTACAATAGTAAACGGAAGTATTTGGTCTGTGCCACGTTTCCTAGGTGGGATGGTGGGGCAAATGACGCTGCGCGATGAAATCAGAGAGCTGCCCTTTTTTTCACACGTATAACTTCTTTCTTTTTGCAATTGCTTCTTAGCTTCTTGACTCCTCTTTTTCAATCTTTTGCGGTCTTTCTATACATATCCTAATGAATCAATTCAAATATAACTTCATACCTATCCTCCTTGAGCAGCTTGAGCAGTTGTGCTACAATCCCAAATCCGGCGCAGAGTGCTCCGCCTTCCCCCAACCGGAGGATGGTAGACCGGACGACGGCCCACTAATGCAGCGGTCTTTGCAATGTTCACCGGGGGCCCGGATAAATACGTCTCGACGGCTAGTTATGGAAAAATATGATTTCCGAACGACTTGGCTACGGGGCATAGTTTTTGAATGAACGCCGGCTGAAATGGAAGTCACAAACGCCGCTTATACAACAGATAGACTTTTACATACATATACATACATATATCTATGCATAAGTCATTTCCTCTGGCCTAAGGTAGGTATATTTTGTGGGGAAGCTTTTCCTACATTGTCTTTCGTGTCGCGTTGTCGATCGAATATCCTCCCGTTAGTGCGGTTGCCCCATGTCCTCGTGCAGCATCGTGCTTTAGTCCGTGGGCTCGACCGCCGGGTGAGCACTAGTTATACTTGTTTTTGTCGTTGACTTAGACTCGACCTCGTTCATGATCGAGGGGCTCTGCGTCTTATATGCCCAAGTGCAGCTTGTACACTACATGTAGAAGCATTTCAAAGAATCCACGGGACTGAGCTCAAATTCACCCTTGGAATGGCAACAGGTGTGAGAGACAGATGCATAGTAGAACGAAAAGGGAAAGGGACCGAGTGCCAGAAATTGGTTGCTAAATATGATTTTTGGCTATGAACGAACATAAGATCAAGGAGAAATGGAGCGTGTTAGAATAGTCTTAGAAGACCGGTAAAATCAACGGCGTTGGATGCAGTTCCATTCATACTACCATCATGTTAGCTTCGTCAATTAAACACGTATCGACGTAATCAAACTCACCACTCGGCCAGCCTCATCCCCCGTATAGACCACGTGGGGTAGAGTCAAAATACAACTGATACCGGCACTGATATTGGCACCAGTGTCACGACTGCTATCAGTATGATGCAACTGTCGAATCAACTCTAGTTCAAAGCGACCATCGCGAATATTTTTGCTCCAGATATTGACCACACCGCGAGTATGGCCTGTCAACACCAATTCACGCTCCAACCATTCATTCTGTACACCCTCATAGAAGACGCAGGACAAGACATGGTCTTCGCTCGAATCGCAGACTGGTTGGTCAACCAACACTACGCCATTG